AAAAAAGGCTGGGCCAAACCTCATGAGGTTGTGGAAGAGCACAGCAGCTTTCCCACGGCACGCGGGTCACCTGCCTCGTGAGACAAGGGCTCTTGAGCCCGCGGCCCCGGCCCCGTGTGGAACTGGGAAGATCACACCTCACACTGGGACCTGGGAAAACGAGAACTGGCCTTGAAGGACTGCAGCGGCTCTGCTGCACTCCCCATCTGAGCTGCTCCCTGGGATCATGGACTCTGCCCCCATAAAGATTGAGAAGGACAGGGCTGGGGAGATAGCTCGGTGGGCTAAGCACCTGCCGGGCAAGCGCAAGGGCCCAGGTTCGATCCCCAGCTCCACACACCACACCGGCCCAGGAACCCCAGGTGTGCTGTGCTGCCCTGAAACCAGGTGTGCTGGCTCACGCCTGTAACCCCAGCACTAGGGAGGCTGAGACAGGAGGATCACTACCTCTGAGCTGTGTAGCGAGACCCTGTACCTAATAAATGATTTTTAAAAGTTAAAGAATGAGGACAAAGTTGAAGGAAAGGAAGACATTTGATGTGCAGGAAAGGAAGAAAGGGAGGAACAGAAAGCCACCCTGTCTGAGAGAGTAGGGGGTCTAGGCCAGAAAACCCAAGAGCCTTTGTCTTCAGCCTCTTTTTATTCAGTGGAAGAAAGACTTCCTGGAGCTTGTTACAACCTATAAGTCCCCAATGTGCTCGGCATCATCTACGTGCAAATTTCTAGGTTAGCTTTATTTGTTTTTCTTTGTCCCATCAGGCCCTGTATCAAAAATGTATAGGCTGTTTAAGGAGGGACCGTACATACAAGGGAGAGTCAGCAATTAAGTAAAGGGAGCTCAGTCAGCTTCCTAAAGTTAGTTTTCTGTTATGCAGCTCCCTCCTCATTTGGTCTCCTTTGTAATTGACTGCAGGTGGGGAGAGACATTAACCTTGGTAGAGCCCTGGTTTACCAGCTCTCCTGCTCCTAGCTCCTCCTAACTGCCTTCCAGCAAAGGTTTAACGCTTTCTAGCCAGGATTTGCCAGAGATTCCTGCAGCCTTCATGTCTATCTCCCCCCCTTTCGCTACAGTCCCCATCTTGGTACGAGGCCCAGAGAACCAGGCTGGTTAAGCCCTAAGTCCAAGATCATCCTGATTCCTTCTCCTCTCCTCCTCCAAAGCCAGGGGGGTGGTCTGGATCTAGAATGACCCACACCCCAACGGTCCCCTGTGTCCAGAGATGGCACTCTGGAAGGTGACTGGAGCACCGGGTGCTGTCGGCACCAGCAGATTCACCCATGGATGGGTTCGTGGCTGATGTGCCAGTACCGGAGGGGGAGCTGGCTGGTCTCCACTTCCTGGCTGCCACGGGTGAGCAGCTCTCCCCCACCCGGCCCTCTTGCCACGCTGCTCCTGCCTTGCAGCAGACCACCACAGACTGAACCCTCCATAGCCGTGAGCCAAACAAGCCCTCCTCCTTTAAGCTGTGCAGGTGGGGATTTTGCCCCAGCACTGGGAAGGTGACTAAGACACAACCCCAGGGCCCACATATGCTAAATGCACTCTCCACCTCTGAGCCACACTCTAGCCCCTGGTCTCTCTAGCACCGCCCCCCAACTCTGTCACCTCTGCAGGTAGCCCCAGAGCTCAGTTCTTTCCCCTGTGCCAGTCATCACTGAACAGAGTCCATTGCCGGGGCTCTGACAAATGTCTACCTTTGTTCCTCTTTGACACCAGACTCCTTATATGGTGGGGGGGACACACAGGGAGGCAGCCTCATGATGACAGTGGCAGAGGCTGCCAGCCCAGGAATGTCAAGGACTGCCAGGCTACCAGGCACTGGGACGGGACAGGGACGGGTTCCTGGATGGGCCCATGAGAAACCCAGGCTGCTAGACCTCTGAACCCCAGAGGTTCAGAGCTGTGGGACAAAAAATTGCTGTTTAATTCTCAATGTGTGGTATTTTGTTTCCATAGTCATGGGACATACACGAAACAGAAGCCCTCAGAAATGTTTTTTGTTTGTTTTTGCGGAACTGGAGTATGAACTCAGGCCCTTGCGCTTGACAAGGAATCGGGATGATCTTGGACTTATGGCTTAACCAGCCTGGTTCTCTGGGCCTCATACCAAGATGGGGACTGCAGCCATCTTCCCAGCCCCTCCTCACAAGTGTTAAGTTGGTCCCTTGCCCAATTCTTTTCCTCTTTTGAGGTACTGGGGATTGAACCCAAGGACCTTCACAAGAGTTACATGCCCCACCATTTTTAATTTATCTTGAGTCTTGCTATGCAGCAAATTGAAGCCTGAGCTTGTCTTGAAGCTACAGTCCTCCAGCCTCAGCCTCACAGTGCTGGAATTACAGGGAGCATCTTGCTCCCTTAGACAACAGAAACTAGTGAGACCGAAATTAGGATTGTCTTAGGCATGCGGACAGTGGCCCAAAAGGACAAATGTGTCCTTGGCTATGTGGCACGCCGCCGGGATCCATGGGCTCCAGAGTGCATGAGCACCGCACTGCCGGGACCCTGGAAGCCCAAGTCTCCTACTGTCTCCAGGTGGGGTCTGAGATTCCTGAAGCTGAAACAAGGAACTAAACCACGCTTTCGTGGGACACCTGCTGACTTCGGCCACACAGATGCAGCACTAAGTGCCACAGGAAGGGCTTCTTGAGATTCAGGACACACTCAATAGTGGGTGGGCATTAGTTTGGAATTGGGAACGTTTCGACGGACTAGAAAGCCTGGGAAAAAGTGGTCCACCCCAAGGGTCCCACAGTCACGGGCAGGGCTTGTTTGGGATAGGTAATTCCACCATTCTGTGGGGTCTCTCAGCCCGTTCCTTTAATTGAACCAACTTGTGGCCTTTCAGTGATGGGTCACCTTGGGTAATTTTGGCTGAGTCCTAGAAGTTGTAGTCCTCTTGGAAGTACAATTTTCAGTTCTGACTTGTCTCTTTCGTGTCTGTTTATTGTCTCATCTCACTTTAGGGGAGAAATGAGCAAGCTTGCACCAACAGCCCCACTCCCGTCTAACCCTTAGCACCTGCACAGAGCCCCTCTCAGCCAGTGGGAGCTCCACTTTTTTTTTTAAACCAGGAATAGCACTCAAGATCTTGTGCTTGCCAGGCAGGTGCTGTGCACCAAGATACATCCCCAGCCCTCACCTCTGTATCTTTTACTTGCCTTTATATCTTTTAATAAACTAGCATGTCCCTACAGACCTTGTCTGCATGCCCCGCTTCGCTGCTGTGGGACCACACCCTAGTGTTCTCATGCCATTTAACCTGTTTTTTGTAGATAGGGTCTCACTATATAGTTCAGGCTGGCCTTGAACTCACTGTGTAACCCAGCTGGCCACAAACTCACCGTGATTCTCCTGCCTCAGCCTCCCAGGTGTTCAGATGACATATGTGCACCACCACCCCCAACCCTTGCCCCATTAACAAACAGTTCTATCACCAGTGAGCTGTCCTTGGTCACTTTTGTCACTGGCACACAGCAACCTGAGCTGCACGGACACAAGGCTGACTTTGGATCAAAGTAATATACATAGTTATGCATGGAAAAATACACAAACACATAAGGAAATTGTCATTACTGGTCATCTCGCCACATCCATCTCAACAGTACTGTACGGGGGCCGGGGAGATGGCTCAGTAGAATAAGCGCTTCCCTGGCAAGTGCAAGGGCCTGAGTTCAATCCCTGGTTCTGAGAAAAAAAAAAAAAGTACCGTACACCTGCAGCATTTACTGCTTTATTTCGCACTTTACAATGAATTTCATGTCTGGGCCTTGTCACACTAATTCCCTCATTGTATGTGACAAGATGTCTAAATTGCTGGCTGTTCAGGCCTGTGTCACCAGATCCATGGCCTCTGACTTCAGTATGGCCTTCAGCGATTACAGAAGATGGAGTTGGATGCTCTCCACGGTGGAAGTTGCTGCTAGCACTCAACTGTCTTAGGCCACTCTCAAGTGCTGGCTCCACGTAAGCACAGTACCTCAGAGGGGCAACTTCCTAGGCTATGGCCATGCCTCACTAGCAGGGTGCCATGCCGAGCTGCTCCTGTTGCCTTCTTGACACCATTTCTGCCGCTGTGAGCACCTACAGTCTCCGTTCCATTCACACCGGGCTTACTGGCCATCTGGAGTTCTTGGCAGCAGGCAGCAGGAAGAACGGGAACCATAGCTGCTTAGGCAGAGAGGTGGGTTCCCTCCTGTGAAGCCCATCTATACAGCACCAGCCAAGGCAGCAGCATGCTGCAGGTCTGGAGCAGCGGTAAACTGAAAGGCCTTGCTGTCTAATGTAAGGCGTCACAGGAGGCGGAAGGAGGGGCCTAGGTCAAGCCCCGATCCTGCCCCGCCTGGTCCAGAGCACCCTTCCAGCCCTAATGACCCACACTCACACTCTGCCAGACTCCTTTCAGAAGAGTGCTGGTCAGAGAGCTCCCCCAGCCCTCTGTCAACCCTCCTGCAAAGCAGAAAGCCCTGCCACAGCCAGTGGCCACTACCCAAGAAACGGGTACCCATGCCCTGTCTTGTCCTCCCATTCACTGTGCCTAGCAGCATCTACTTGGAGACAAGATATCTCTGCACCTGCAAGCTGGTGGCCACCATCACCCTAGGGCCAGGGCCGAGATGCCCCGATCGAGTTGAGGATAACCTGTACTGCCCTAAACTCTGTGTAGGTCCTGACCCCTAGGACTTGTGAATATGAGCCGTATTTGGGAAAAGGTCTTTGAAGATCTCGAGATGAAATCATCCTACCTCATCCAGAGGACCCCACTTCTAGGATGTTGTGTCCTTGTATGACACAGACAAGAGAGAGGTGGCCATGTGACCAGATACAGAGACTGAAAGGAGGGGTCTACAAGCCAAGGAACACCACCACTACCAACACCTGCCTGAAGCTCATGCCACCCTGGCACTGATTCTCAGAATCTGAAAACAAGTCAAGACGGGTATGATGGTGCACACCTGTCATCCCAGCCTCGCGAGGCTGAGGCAGGAGGATCAGGAGAGTTCCAGGCCACCCTGGGCTACACAGTAAAATCTTGCCTCAAGGAAACTGAAGAAAAAACTTGCCTTCAATTTCTGATTTCCAAAACATGAGAGAATGTGTCTTTGCTGTTTTAAGCCACCAGACTATGAACAGCGCTCTTGCAGAAAGTTGCAAGACAGGAAACGGAATGCAGTGTCACTGACAGAGCTGTCCGTTTCTTCAGTACTTGCCCAAAGGCCAGGACACTAAGCCACCTGGACTTAGGGAGGCAGAAACGTGGCTGGCCAGCCCTGCACACATGGGCTGATCGCTACAGGCCTTCCGCAGGCACACAGCAAGAGGCCCTGGGCCGGGGAGCAAGGCAGGTCAGAAAGGGCCCAGGGCCCACGGCAGAGGCTGCATGTCTACTGCAGGCCTTCCCAACTCCCAGCTTCCCACTTCCTCCAAACACAATGGCTGCGCCTTCCTCCAAGTGCCTAGAACCTTGCACACAGTGAAGAATGCCCTGCTGTTCACCTACCCATCAGTGTCACCTGGCCTCCTGTGGCAGGGCCAAGGCGTTTGGGGCTGGTGGAGAATGTGGCATCATCGACTTCTCACATGTGATAGACTGTGGCCACCACTAACACCAGGCAATAAATGCTAGGCAGGTAAGGATTCACTTTGGTGCTTGTAAAACAGCGGTGTACAAGTTCGAAGGACCCCTCTGGAGACTACAGAGGGCTGGCAACTCTAAGCCCAAAGCAGTACAAGGAAGAAAATGGATGTGACTAAAAAAATACAAACCTCTGCCAGGCAAGTGTATATACCTGTCACCCCTGCACCCAGAAGGCTGAAGCACGAGGATCAGGAGTTTGAGGCAAGACTGGGCTCCATAATGAGACCTTGCATGAAAAACACAAAAAAACTTGGTGTTCAAGGCCAAGATGCACTGGTGGCAAAAGCAGAGTGGGAAAAGATGTGGTTTCTGTCATGAACAGAAGATACTCTTGCATAATGACCAAAGTGCTGCTAAAAACCAAAAAGGAAAAGGCAACAACCCAATAGGAAAATGGCTGAGAGACAAGCACAGCCAGCTCACAGTTACAGAGTGGAAGGGCCCAGCTCCTGCTCACTCTCGGGGAGAGTGCCCAGGGACAGTCACAAGCCAGAGGCCCACCCGCCCGTCCTCAGGGGCCACAGCTCCACTCTCGACCTCTATCCCAAAGACACGAGTGATTAGCGCGCCAGCATTTTCACGGCACCGTCATCGATGGGCAGAAACAGAGATGGGCCCAAAGGCACATCCGTGGCACTACCTCACCACCACAGGGCGGCTGCCAGGTAGGAGTTGCCACCAGGAGAGGAAGCACGTGGGGTGGGCAGCTGGGAAAGCGCCCAGTCTTCAGAACCTGTCTCATCCTGGACTCCTGGGGGTGGCAGGGAAGGCAAGCATTTCAGCAGACGGAAGGGAAGGAGAAAAGCAGAAGAGCGAAAGGCCAGGGCCAGGGCCCTGCGGCTACCCCCGGGGCCTGCTCTGTAGCACCAAGTCCTCGATTCTGGACTGGGAAAGAAGGCAGAGGTGGCAGTAGCAGGCCCTACTCGATGCACTCCATGACGTGGATCTGCAGAGTGTCCATGTCAGGCGCCTGATACTGGCACTTGGGACAGCAAAAGTCGCGGGGCTCCTCCGGGGGACTCCTCCTCTGGTTGGGCATGTGAAAGGAGCAGTACGCTGGGGATGGGAAACAAACCAGCTGAGTGTCAAGAGGAATAGGGGACAGTCAGGAGCCAGAGCTTTGCCTACAAGGGTCCATCTGTGACTACCAGCTACCGGTAGGGTGACATTCCTCTTGAGGCAGGGCTGGGCTCCTGATGGGGGACCAAAGGTGACCAGACACACCCACTCACCAGGGGCGGGCAGCGTGGACTGCAGGACCTCCCCATAGCGCTTCCTCAGGTCCTCCATCCTGGGGAGATGCAGAGCATCTGCTCAGCGCACGTGCACAGGGCTCTGAGCCCGCCAGCCGTGGCCACAGGCCCTGGGGCAGGAGAGGACCCAGGGTGCAGCACTGAGCCCCACCTGGCTGACTCCTGGCAGCTGGCCTTGAGCTTGCTGAAGTCCCGCTGCAGCTGATCCAGCTGCTCCTGCAGTGCCTCCTTCTTCTCTGCCAGTTTCTCCCGGGCCTGCCGCTCTGCCTGGAAGTCGGCCTTGTAGATATCCGCCTGGCAGGTGGGAGAGGGACGTGCTACTAGCCAGCAGCCACGCGTTGGGCGCAGCCTGCTGGCCCTGGGGCCAGAGCAGAGCTCCCTCCCTCCACCCCGGCAGCAGAGGGAGCAGGCAGACCAGCCAACGAGCCTGTAGGCACAGAAAGAGCAGCAGTGTGGGCCCACGGAACGCGAGGCCACGCGGGCAGCGCCTGCAGGAGGCTGCACCTGTGCCTTCAGGACTGGCACTGTCTCCATCACCGTCTTGTGCTGTTCAGCTTCCTCCTTGAGCTTGTCGATCACCTCCTGCTTGGCCACAAGGGCCTCCTCGGCTTGCTGCAGCTGCTGCTTCAGGTCCTCTAGCTGCATCCCCTAGGAGGAGCAGGGGTGCTGACACAGTGAGGGTGGTGTCCAGAGCTGAGGGCCGGTCACAGGACCCCAGTGGGTATGAGAGGTGCACGTCCCACCCCCGCCAAGGACAGGAGGCGGCAAGGTTCTCCCAGGGACATGCAGGGGCCTCAGGGCTGAGGGGACCTCTGAAGCCGTGGGACATCACCTCCCGCAGCACTCGTCCCCCTCAGTCACCAGACAGACAGACATGCAGCCCTTCAAGGACAGGCACCACCTTCCCAGCCCTGCATGCACAGCTAAGCTGCCTCCGGCTGGTCCTCCGCTCTGCTATCTGCGCAGAGCCCACTCATCCCAGAGTCACCCCACACGCACGCGCATGTGCGCTCTCCGTGGAGACTTGCTTCTCCCTGGGATCAAGCAGCCATTTTTATAACTAACTCTTCCTCCTGTGATCCGCTCTCAAGCTTAAGCCTTACAAATCTCTAGGTTCATCCTGCTGACACTGTCTTTCTGAAAACGTAATCCCCAGAAAGCGCACTCAGTTTAGGTCTGGTGAGAGCAAAGCGGGAGAAGATGCCAGTTCACCTTCCATGCCAGGGTAGAAGCAGTTCTCAGACTGACATGGCTCCAGAAACCTGGCCTTGGGGACAAATGTCTGTAGCCCTCGAGGGAAAGGGGGCAGCCTAATGGGACCCCTCTCCTTGTGGCCTTTTCTCAACTGTCATATCCACACACACTGTCTCCCTCAAAAGCCAACTGTCGACATGACAGGAAGACCCGAGGCCTACCCTGAATGGCTCAGGCCGCCATACTCACTCGCTTGCGCTCGCCGCTCACCATGCTACTTTTGATGTGGTTGTCATAGTCCTGGAAGAGCTGGTGATAGGCCACCTGCAGCTGGGCCAGCTTCCGCCTGTGGAAAGAAGCTGCGGCTGGTCACAGGCCTGTGTCTATCTCTCCTCTTCCTCCTTGTCACCTAGACTCAGAAGGGGCCTGCAGGCATACAGCTGGACCCCTAGGGCCACCAACTCTGAGAGAGTCCTGCAAGTGTCCCATAACTGACAGGGTGGCTACATTCATACCATTTTTCTTAAAGGCACCATTTTAAAATGTCTAAGGATGCAGATGCAGAGCAGTGCCAGAGTCTTTGCCCAGCATGCAAAAGGCCCCGCACCAAAAAGACAACAAGGAGGGCTGGGGAGATAGCTCAACAGCATAAGCACTTGCCTGGCAAGCGTGAGGTCCTGAGTTCAATCCCCAGTTAAAAAAAAAGACAAAGAAGTGAGATGACCATTGTCAAAGTGATTGAATCTTCAAATGCATGAGTTTTATGAAGCGCGGAGAGATCAAGGGAAAACAAGCAGCGCGGCCTCGAGGGAGACCCTGCACGGGGATGGCGGCACGGTCCAGAGACCCACACTGCAAGGCTCAGCGCCGGCGCTCACTCACTTCTCCTCCGAGGCGGCCTGGCGCTCCATGCGCAGCGCGGCTTCCACGCTCTGGTTCTGCATGCGCAACTGATCCACCTGCACACTGTGCTGCTGCTGCAGCGCCTCACGCTCCTTCTCCAGCTGCCGCGCCTGCTCACTGGCTGCCCGCGCCCTATGCGGAAAGACGGGGTGGGGCGACACTGAGGACCGAGCTGCAGACAGACTCACCCACCCTGCATGCACCCGGGCACCCCTTGCACTGGGAGGGCACTCCTGTGCCAAACGTAATGAGGTGGCAGTGTCCCTGCTCTCTGAGCTAATGTGCCACTTAGGGCCACCACCACCCTCCCCCCTGTGCAAGGGATATGGCAGGCAGGTGCAAGACTGGGCCAGCACTGCACAGGCTCTTTCCCTGCTGACAAGAGGGCTTGCTGTGGGGAAGTGTGTGACCCGCAAGGCCTACTCAGAGCACCTGCCTTCTTCCAGAGGCCTGGCAGCTCAGTGGGCACCTGGCACAGCAGTATCCTTCCTGGGCCCCTGCGTGAACCTCAGCTGTAAGGGCTGGCGTCTAGCATACTAACCTCTTCGCTTTGAGAAGCAGAAGAGACTGAGGCAGAATTCAATTTAGCTTAACCCCTGCCTAGAGTATTTACGTAGAAGCAGCCTTGCCAAAATGATCCCGTTCCTCATTCCTTCCCTGCCCTGTCAGAACTTCTCAAACACACAGGAGATAAGGAGAGACAGGACCCATTTAGGGGTCAGGGCAGGAATGCGATACACTCAATCCTGGCCATTACACAGCCAGGATGGGGACCATGCCAGGCCCTGGTCCTCGCAGAGATGTACTTGTGGTTTTAGGGCCCCTGAAATGGCACTTACCTAGCCTCCAAGGCCTGGCGTTCCTTGGTGGCGGCCTCCAAGCGGCTCTGGCTCTCCTGGAGTTCCCCCAGCAAGGATGTCACCTGGGCTTTCACAGAAGCCTTGTCCTCAGCCATCTGCTGCAGAAGAATCACTTCCTGTCAGTGCTGCTTTCTCCCAAGGCCTACGGTAGCGCAGGAGCAGCTGAGGCCTGTATCCCCAAGGGCTTTTCTCCTGTACCCAATACCCCAAAACCCAGCACCTCAGGAGCCTAATAGCTGACCCCCTCTGGTCGCCACCTCCACCCCTGCTCATTGTACTCTTTACCTCTGGCAGCTGCCCAAGCCAGTGAAGCAAGCCAGGCAACAGAAAGAGGCCGATTCCTAACAGCCCCTGCCTCCAGGGTCCCCTTCTCATCCCTGTAGATGCAGTGACAGGAGACCCCAAAGGGAAGCAGGGACACAGAGATGCCTACAGTCCTGTGACACTGCAACAGCTTGGACACTGCCCTGGCCACAAGACCATGAGGGCAACCCACAAGAGACCATGTGGCTGTGGCCCCAGCAGGAACCTTTTTCTTAGCTGCTTTGGAACCCAAAGACAGCAACAGAATCACAGGCCTGCTAGAAGGTGAAAGATTCGGCAGCAGGAGTGGCCACTGAATCTTACCAAGAACTAAACTTCAAATCATTCAAGTCCCTCCCTGAGACCTGAACAAATTGAACACAGCTCCTGGCAGCCTTGGCCATACTCCTAGGAAGACCCAGGTCCCTCCCAGGCCTGTCTGGAAAGCTCTGGCCACACCTGGCACAGGCCGCTGATCTGTGGAACCCCTGCTTAATGTTTCTTTGTCCCTCTGAGATGTCCACATCTGTTGCACCCCAGCAGTGTCTGGAGATCTGAAGGTGGTCCTTTGACACAGAATCACTGGGAGTGAGGCTAGAGCCACACTCTCTTCGGCTCCAAGGCAGAGCATGGTCCTAACTCTGACATGTGCCTCTTCTTGTGGACACTGACACCCTTTGCCATCTTTCACTTGAGCTTTTTTCTCTACCCAATACACTTCTTTCTCCCCCCCTCCCCAGCACCTTGCCTTGCTTTCTTCTTTAGGCATCAGAGGTACGACATATTAAGCTCTGGATCTAGAATGTCCCCAAATACCTCCTGTGTCCAGAGGAAGCACTTTGGAAGGTGACTAGACCACCGGGTGCTGTCGGCACCAGCGGATTCACCCATGGATGGGTTCGTGGCTGATGTGCCAGTACCGGAGGGGGAGCTGGCTGGTCTCCACTTCCTGGCTGCCACGGGTGAGCAGCTCTCCCCCACCCGGCCCTCTTGCCACGCTGCTCCTGCCTTGCAGCAGACCATCACAGACTGAACCCTCCATAGCCGTGAGCCAAACAAGCCCTCCTCCTTTAAGCTGTGCAGGTGGGGATTTTGCCCCAGCACTGGGAAGGTGACTAAGACACAACCCCAGGGCCCACATATGCCAAATGCACTCTCCACCTCTGAGCCACACTCTAGCCCCTGGTCTCTCTAGCACCGCCCCCCAACTCTGTCACCTCTGCAGGTAGCCCCAGAGCTCAGTTCTTTCCCCTGTGCCAGTCATCACTGAACAGAGTCCATTGCCGGGGCTCTGACAAATGTCCACCTTTGTTCCTCTTTGACACCAGACTTCTTATATGGTGGGGGGGACACACAGGGAGGCAGCCTCGTGATGACAGTGGCAGAGGCTGCCAGCCCAGGAATGTCAAGGACTGCCAGGCTACCAGGCACTGGGACGGGACAGGGACGGGTTCCTGGATGGGCCCCAAAAGGAACCTATGCTGACAGATCTTCATATCAGACCCTAGACCCCAGAACTGGGGGACAATTAGAGACAAGAAATTGCTGTTTAGGTCCCTGGTGTACCCTAGCAAATTCACATGATTCCCCAATGGAAAAGCAATACTCTGAGCTGGGCACTTCCCACAGTGAAGTGACCATGCTCCAGGGCTGGAGCCTGTCTGTGCCATGGGCCCCTTCTCCCTGCCCTTCCCAGGCTATGCATCCCTGCTCACCTGCTGTCAGCAGGGTCCTATTACTGGGCAAGCCAGATAGGCTGCAGTACTCTCCTTTGCTCATACTGAGTACGTCATCCTTTGGAGACAAGGGAGTACACAGCCAACTCACAGTGCCGAGCCATAGCCTGAGCCTCCTGGGACTGCTAAGCCCCCAGAAGACCCTGCCTGGTGAAAGTGCTCTGCTTTACCAGGGCCTGGGGGCCTGCCAGGCAGTCTACACTGGCACCACAATGTGTGGGCACCTGGGCAGCATGATGCCAGCTGGACCTCTGGGGATAAGGACCCAAGCCACTGGTATCAGACACTCAGTGCTTCAAGCCCACACCACATACCCAGTAAGATCCCCAGACACGGGGCTCAGACACCTACTGAGCGACAAGGTCTCACGAAGCCATGTGCAACCGACCTCCAGGCCCCTGTACAATCCCGCTGGACACTGCTGGCCCCTGCGTTAGACACCAGCACCATGGCAAGCTTTTGTTAACAGTCTGTGGAGTCCCAGAGTACCCAGGGGGCCAAGCCTGCGCTCCTTTGGGGGAATCTCCAGCCACAGGTACCCTGTCCCCAAAGGGACCTAGGCTGACCACCGGCTACCTGCTGGCATCTCTTCAGCTGCTCCGCCTCCTGCAATGCCTGCTCCTTCTGCCTCCTCAGCTCCAGCTTCTCCAGGCTCAGCCTCTCCACCAGCTTCCTGGCCTCCTGGAACCTGCACATGAGGAACTCCTTCTCCTCCTTCTGGCTGGCCTGGAAGTGCAGCAGCTCTTCACAGCGCTCACGCAGCATCTGGTTGTTCTGCCGGATGGCATCTAGGGGAGAGGAGACAGCAGAGGGGAGGGGTCTTGACGATGTGGCCTGGGTGCCATGCTGGGCTAGCCATCTTCACACCCTTCCCACAATGCCGGACTGCCCCCTCCCTACCTGAAACAGATAAGCAGCTAAACACACCTCTTCATCTCTTCAAATCTGCCGAAATCATTACGTGAAAGATCCGCCCCTGTGCTTCTGCAGGGCATGCCTGATTCACTTGCTTTCAGGTCACTCTAAGGAGTACCCACCCTCCTAGGCCTGCATCTCTGCCGTATTTGAGATTGGAGGTCCCAACATGCTTGCAGGTAGCCACTGGCACACAGTGCCCTGGCCAAAGGCCACCACCCTAAGCCACTGACCAGCTAGGATATGAGGGTCAACTGACCCCAGCGCTGGAAAGAATCCTGTAAGGAAGAAGTGCTGTCCTTCAAGATGCAGCATACAGAGTCCAAGTCCCCCGCAAGAGCCAAGGCGCAAAGAAAAGCTGCTGCACTCACAATAACCCCTGGAAGCTGTGCCTCCGCGCCCCAACACCTCCAGCCCAGGCGGTTTCCAAGGTGCCCACAGCACACATCCTGATAAGCTAAGAGCTACAGGGGTCATCTGGGCATTCAGGGCTCACTCATGCCAAAGGGAGTGAGTCAGAGAGGGTCAATTCTGAGCTCTGAGCAGGAGGAAAAGCAGTAAGGAGAGACAGGGAGGAAGACGTCATGCTGTGGGGGAAGAGGGGACTGCCTTCAAATGCCAGTGCCAGGATGAGGGTGGCCTGGTAAAGTACGCAGTCCCCAGGCACCCATTCAAGGTCAGAAGGCCTCCCACTGAGACCAAGACCAGCCAGAGTGGTGACTGTCAATGACCCTGACACCAACTAATGACAACAGCGACCCTGAAATAGTGGTTTCCCAGGGGAGCCAGGTTCCTTCTCAGGGCAGGCCACGACCCTCACTGAACTGACAGCACTCAGGATTTCTTGGGTGTGGACACGAGCCTGGCCATATTCTCCCACTGAGAAAGCTGTGGCATCTCAGAGATCCTTGATCCTGGAGTCTTACCTCCCCCCCATGCTCACCCCACTCCCGCCAATGTCCTTCCCCAGTGCTGGGCCTGAGATACCTCCAAATACATTTCTTACATACTCGCCTCACTCAGGATCTGCTTCCAGGGAACCCCAAATGAAACCCAGAGGGGCCAGTCCCCCTCACCTCGGAGTTCATGATTCTCCTCCAGGCAGCGCTGGAGGGCCTCTGGGCTGCCCTGCTCCGCCTGCAGCTGCAGCATCGCTGGCTTCCCAAGAGAGGACTCTTCGTCCTGGTCCCCTGCTGGGCTGCTGCCAGGCTGCACCATCTCACACAGCTGGCTCTTTGAGGGGTGCCTGCTCATCCACCACAGCAGCACCTAGAGGAGGGGGCAGCAGGGGTGTTGCAGGGACAGCGCCATGCTCCTGCCTTGGAAGGAGCCCTGGGCCCACACCAAAGCAGAACAGCAATTTCACTGCCTAGAGTAACTAGATATTGAAGCAGGACTTTTATCAAAGGCAGAGGCCGATGGCTGAGGCAAATGTCAGAGAGCTGGGAACTCTGTCCTCTCCGCACACCTCCACACAGAAGGGGAAGGTCCTGGCCCTCACTCAGTGTAAGCAGGTAAATGGAAGCCCTGAAGACCATGTGTTTCTGTCCTCATCCCCCACACGTGTGACAGTACCTGGAAAGGGGTCTTTTCAGATGTACATGAATGAAGAATCTCACCATGACGCCATCCTGGGTCATGTGGACCCTGACAAGTGTCCTTAAACGACACAGGAGAAAACAGAGGGAAACACATGGGAAAGAGCCATTTGAAAACAGAGGTAGAGATCAGAGTGGCCACGAGCCAAGAACAGTCACGCACTAGCAGTTGGGGTAGAAAAAGGAAGGCCCTCCCCTAGTTGCAGGGGAACCATAATCTTGTTTGCCCTCTGATTTTGGAATTCTGGTCCCCAGAACTGTGAATTTCTGTTATCTGAAGCCACCAAACTTGTAGACATTATTTGTGGCAGCCACTGGAGACTCATATGCCTCGTAAAAGGGATTCCAAGGAGGCAGATAGAGGCTGATGAGGGAGGGCCAAGGGGCACCTCTAGCATCTGATGTGTGCCAAGGCACTGGAAGTGGGCGCTGAGCTGCCAGCGAGGTAGCTGAGCTGGTTTTTGCTGAAGAAGTGGACAGCATCAGCCAACTACCCAGAGGAGGCTGCCCCCAGTGCAAGTACCTAGGAACAGGCCTAGGTGAGGGCAGAGGGCTCTGACACTGGATCACTGGCCATTGTGCCTATCAGCACTGGCACCTCCCTCTCATACCTGAAGGTATCTCCTCCCTCCTCCTGCAAGCATGCTCCCCCCTTGTCTTCCAGCATAACCCAGTCTCCCAGGGTCCCTCTCATACAGGCCTCTTCTTTAACTATGTTCACTCCTATAGCAATTCCATCCAGTCTCATAGCTTTACCTCCAACCTAATGCCAATAATGTCCCCAAATAGACTCTTCCCCTGAACTCCGTACTCAGCAAACTCTACATGAGTACTTGAAAATCTTGTAGTCCTCTTCCAAACTAACTTCCCAGGGCTGGAGGCATGCCTGACTGGTACAGTACTTGCGTGGCATGCCTCCAGCCCTGGGTTAAAACTCAATAGTGCCCAAAAGCCAGTTCTACCCAAAGCCTTCCAGCTGAAAGCAAATCCATCCTCCTGTCATTAGGATAAAAAACTTGCAAGTTATCCTTGATATGTCTCTATCTCCACCTCCCAGCGCACATACAATCCATCAGGAAATTCTGCAACATTAACTATTGTAGACCCCTGCATGGTACTGTGGCCATGTTGTTTAAAGTCCATTCTAACAAAGATGCACACTAAACCCTGGCACCACATGCCGCACAGGCCCCACCCCCGGGGCATGCTGAGTGGGCCACCAAGACCAGGCATGGTGACGCACACACATATGCCAATGCTGGGGAGGCTGAAAGCAGGAGGATCACTATGAGTCCAAGCTGGGTAGTGAGACACTGTACCAAATACATTAAAGAAACTTAAATATTAAATCTAAAACTCACTTCAAAATAAAAGGGTAATCCCTAAGTATACACACAGGGGAAATGTGCTATGAATACTCACAGAAGCATTACTCAGAGCAGCCAAGGAGAGGAAACATTCTCAATGTCATCAGCTCACAGAAGAGTACAGCCACATGCTACAGCACAAACCTTTCAAACACCATGCTAAGAGAGACAAGTCACAAAAGGCCACGTATTGTACAATTCAATTTACAAGAGAAGTGCACAATAGACAAATCCATAGCTACACAAGATAATCTAGAGGCTATGTAGGGCAATGTGGTGAGTGCGGTGGTCACTACAACTGCAGGGTTTCTTTTGGGAATGATGAAAATGTTTTGGAATTAGTGCTGATAGCTGAACACCTTAGTGAACGTACAAAAGCCACTGAATTTCACACTTTAAACAGGGGAACTAGGGCTGGCCAGATAACTCAGTGGATTAAAGCACATGCTTAGGCAGACGCAGGGACCCAGGTTCCATCTGAAAACAGGAGAATCACTATGAGTCCGATCTGTGTAGTGAGACCCTGTAGACCCTGTACTAAATAAACAGGGTAACTGTGTAGCATACAAGCTATAACTAATGGAGAGGGCTCTGAAAGATGCCAATTAAACAAAATTAACCATTAGCCACAAAAGCTAAGCGATGGGCATTGGGATTTACTCACTTTTCTACTTTTGTACAATTTTTAATTTTTCAAGCATAAACTGTCAGGGCTGGGGATGTGGCTCAGTGGTAGGGCTCTATCTAACCTTGCATGCACAAGGCCCTGGGTTTGAGCTCCAGTACCACCACCACCCCCAAAACAATGAAATGACAGATTACTACCATCACCTGGATTGCCGTAATAACTCCCTACCAGATCACCTTGGTTCTACCCTTGCCTTTACAGTCTATGGTCCCCCACTGCGACCAGAAAGATCCGTCTACACGGTAAATAGAATCACATCCTTCCTCCACCAGGAGTTCCCCACACACAGCCCCCACTGCTCTCACATTTCCACAAGCAGGGCCTGTGCACCATCTGTTCTCCCACTCTTTTCTCCCGACTACTCTGCCCTCGCGCTTTCTGCTCCAACTCTAAGCCCTCCATGCAGCTCCTAGAGTACACGGGCCAGCTCATTCATTCTCGGATCGCAAAAATGGCCTGAAGGACAGATAGCCGATTTTGCAAAGTGAGCTAACTGAAGCGCGCGAACAGAGAATGTATCCCAACTGGAAGAGCTATGCCACTAGGGGAACAGGCTGACCCCGAGGCGGCGGCGGGAGGGGCCCTAGTAACTTGGGCCCCGAATCTTCCGATCGATGCTCTAGGCAAGCGTTCCGCCACCCAGCCACACCCCAGCCCCTGGGCCAATGCTGCAGAACACAGCAGGGAAGAACAGGCTGGGGCCCAAACAGGAGGGAGCCTGGTCGTCCAGAGGCGTCTTGGAGGCAAGAAAGGGATCACACCTGTCAGCAGAGGCCGTCAGACGTGAGGAGGGCAGGAGCGGCGGGCCGCTAGCCTAGGGGCGCAGGGCTCCCGAGAAAGTCCAGGCTCAGCAGTCGCCCTTCCCTTCTCCGCCGAGGAAACCCCCGCTTCCGGCTTCCGGTGTCGTAGCCGTGGGATCCGGAAGTAAAACACACAAGCCCCGACCCCAGAAACACAGGAGGTTGCCGAGAGATGCGAGGCCTTGCAAAGCCGATTCCTGCTCTGCAGAGAGCGGGAGTAGGCCGGCCTCGGCTACTCCACAGGGCGCTGACCAGTGATAATCACGCTCTACTTCCCAGGGCGTCGCCATGTACACAGCCCCTAGTGGCCGGCAAGACCCTGCCCAGCCGTAGGACTCTCTCCCCCACTACCGATACCCGACGAGCCCAGACAAAGCTCCGGAGGCCCCACCCATCCGCCGAGGCGAAGGCTGGGGAGGCGTGGTCACGCCGCCGGCGGAAGTGGGGCCTTCCGTGAGCGCGAGGACCGCCAGGGGGGCGCGCAGGAAAAGCAGGCCTTAGTGTGAAGCCGGGCCGGCGGTGGGGACGTGGGAGGGCCCCACGGAGCAGTACGCGTGCCCGCAAGGAACGGCGGTCACGGGGCTGTGGAGAGAGCGTGTGCAGAGCGGCGCGGCCGCCCACGCAGGGTCCTGGGGGGCGAGAGCGCCCGCGCGCGGCGCAGTCCGGGGATGCGTGCGCACCTGCCCTCTCCCCTAGCCGGCTCGCTCGGGAGGAACTGTGGAGACCCCGCCCCCGCGCCTCGCCGCAGGCCCCGCCCCCGCGCGCCTCGCCTGAGGCCAGTCAGCTCAGTCTCGGCGCCCGCCCCCGCCTGTTAAATGGGCCGGCGGGCGCAGCCCCCGGAAACGGCCGTGCACTCCAGGGCTGTGAGCGCGGCGGGCGGCGGCAGCCACAGCTGCGGTTGTGCGGCGCAGGTAACTGGGCGAGCAAGGCGTCGGCGGAGGGGCGTGCTGCTGCGCGGCCCTTCATCCGCACCATTCACACCGCGCGATTTACCGTGCTCGGGAGCGGGGCAGAATGGAGAAGGTCGCAACCCAGCCGTCTGCAGCGTGCACCTCCCCCACGGGGCGCAGGAGGATGAGACCCTGGGGAGGGAGGGGCGTAGCCTGCGACGTCCTGGGGAAAGCTGGACCCGACCTCCGTCATCCGCATAGTCTAACGCGCTCCAGCTCATCGCAAAGTTTGGGGCAGCGTCCGAAGTGAGCGGTCTCGGGCATGTAGTGTGATGGCCTGGCGGGGTGCTCTCCTGTTGCCCGTCATTGATGCCCTGCCCCACAGCCATTCCCGCGCCCCCAAAGGAGGGGGCCGAGAGGGCGGAGGGAGGGAGGCCCTGCGAGCGGCCGCGTCTCTCCCCCGCGTCCCTCCTGTCCCTCTATGTGAGGGCTTTCCGTCGCAGCAGCCAGCTGGTGAGACGGACCAGAGGACCCCTGGAGGTCGAGGTCCTGTTGCGATGTCCTTTCCTTCTGCTTGTCAACCAGCCTTTCTCTCATCAGACAGCAGCATGGCAGAGCAGGTGGCCCTGAGTAGGACCCAGGTGTGCGGGATCCTGCGGGAAGAGCTGTACCAGGGCGATGCCTTCCACCAGGCCGACACCCACATATTCATCATTATGGGCGCGTCGGTGAGTGTCCCCAGGCCTCCAATCTGGAAAGTCACAGTGAAGGTGGCATCACTTGGGGTCCTGCCTACCCCTTGCTTCAGCTCTCACAGCCAGGGGAGCTGGAGCGGGCAGGGGCACTGGCCGCTGATTGGAGCCCCCAGACTTGCAGGTGGTGTGGCTCCGGCCGAGTGCACTTCCTCCTCCGTGAGGACAGGTGCTTGCCGGCTGCTTCTGGCTGACTGGTCTGTTACTTGACCGGAGTCCCGCAGTTGGCCCCTCCAGCAGGGTCTGAGGCTGTGTCTGCCCCTGCTCTGTGTGAAGTTCCCTGGATCCGACTGCCAGGCCTTCCTGCGATCGTCTCCTCTTGGTCACCACTTCCAGAGCCCGCTCAGGAGCTGGCCCCACGTGTCCTCCTGGCACAACAGCTCGTTTGCTCCAGTCTGAAAGGCCAGAGCATAGGAGCCCAGGCAGAGGGGTGGCACGCTGAGGGTACGTGTCAGGGCTGGCCAGGGCCCAAGCGGGGCCTTGAGCCAGATGGTGTGCCTCCTGCCGAGTTGCAGCAGCCTGTGCAGAGACACGTACCAAAAGTGGTCTTGTTTCTTTCAACGGTGATGCGCTCAGGGGTCTGCCAGCCACGTTAGCATTTTTGCCCTTTGCTGTGTTGTGGTAAGGGAGGTTCTTACTGTATGTAGTCCAGGCTGATCTCCCCTGCTTCAGCCTCTGTAGTAGCTAGGATTACAGTTGTGGGTGGGCCACCTCACCCAGCTACCAGAGGGCTCTTGACAGGGTAAGCAGTAGCTTAGCACATGCCTGGTGCGCTGTGGGCCCCACAGTGCTGGAAGGACTGGAGTTCTCTTCATATGGAATATGCCATCTCCTTTGCCAAAGCTGCTCCCTGCCATCTTGGTATTTCTGATCAGAGCTGGGGAAAGGAATGAGGAGACATGGCGGGGGCGCGGTGGGGGACTAGGCCTGGGAAAGGCAAGAGACCCACCACAGACACTATCCTCCGGGCCTCGTGCTGTTAAGGGCCAGAGCAAGCAGCCACTTAGACCACAATGTCAGCTACCAGTTGAAGGACTCTTGAGTGTTTGGCCCTCAGTCCAAGAAGCAGGCTGGAGCAGAGCAAAACCCAAGAGAAATTCTCTTCCCTTCCAGTCCCCACCCTACACTGGCCTGAGCATTGCCAGCAGTGACCCAATCATGGGCTGGACTGCGACTGTAGGCCTTGAGCCCTCACTGAGAGCATCCTAGGTTTGCTGTGCAACCTCGGTGAGCAGCTCAGGGCTTGGACCCACCAACAAAGCCTTTTGAAATAAGTGCCCCAGGGCTGCCTTGGGTTCTCATGGCTGCAGTTGGGCAACTGGTTTGCTGCAATACGCAGGGTTCCCCTTTCCTCTCCTCTGCAGCTGAGAAGCAGAGCCCCCAGCACAGAAATGGGAAGCTGCTGCTCCAGCCTCACGGGGCAGGGTGAGGTCTCTGTGAAGAGCCTCATTGTTTCCCCCAGGACAGTGCTGGAGCCAGCCACAGCTCCCACTTGCAGGCCTCTCCTTGCTGGGCATGGGAGATGGCAGCAGCTGGCCATTCTGGGAAGCCAGCAGGCTCTCTGGTTATTCTCTGGTTCAGCACATAGGGATCAGGTGCCATTTCTAGACTGCACAGCCCCAGTCCCCGCCCTGCACACACAGCTTGTGGATTGCAGGGAGCCAGGTACCAAGGTGTGAGCACACCTCAGAGGGGCACATAGAAGCCACTAGTGTGCCTTTGTACCCCAACCCCTATGACACACAGGACCCGTGGGCAGGGCCAGGTGAGCTAAGCCTGCAGGCGAGAGCTCAGAGGCAACCCTGGTGGGAGGAGGAGGAGGAGGAGCAAGCACCCAAAGCCTTAAGTCGGAGATAAGCTCATTGTGACCCAGAAACCAGGAGGAGGCCAGTGGCTAGTGAGCCAAAGCCAAGGCCAGCAGGATAGCCCAGGGCAAGCAGGCCATCCTCTGCCCCTCCCTCCTTGGCCAGCATCCCCAGCCCTTGCCTGACACCCAGCTTCCTTCTAAGGTGAGAGGGTTTCCAGAAGTGGCTTGGGGTCTCTCAGAGTCCCCCTGTTGGGCCACTCCCCTTCCCCCAGTCACCCCAAGGCAGAGGCCTGAGCTAGAGCCCCTAGCCTTCAAGGGCATCGTGCCACCTGAGAGGCCTGCAGTCAGGGCCTCCAGGCTCCCCCTCCTGGTGGCAGAGCCCAGCTGGAGTCTGCATGACTCTCCATCCTCAGTTTCCTCACCTGGCCCACAGTGACTACAGGCCGGCTAGGCACCCAGGACCCACCTGGGACATTTCTGGGCAATGTAGTTCCTGCTGTGTCATCATGACGTTGGCACTCCTCCAGAGGCCTGGTGACTCAGCCCCAGGGTGGAAGAGGAAGGTCCTTTTATTAGTCTTTCAGCTGAGCTGGGCAGCCCCTTGGTTCCCTTTCCTTGGTGGCCATGAGCCAGCTGGGCCCCAGCCAAAGCCTAGGACTCCACCAGTGCAGGCCCCCGCTCTCGGCCCTCCCACCACCACACAAGGGCTGGGGATCTTCATCGGGTCCCACCTCCCCTGTGAAGGCCCTGTGTGTCCTTGGGCAGATCCCTCCTCTGCCACGGTCCTTGGGCAGAGTGAGCTGGCGGGGAAGATAAGAGGCGCCCAGTGCTGTCCTAATCACCCTCACCCACGCATGGCCCCGCGTTCCTCACTCCAGAGCAGGCCAGGGCCACCGCCAGCCCACGGGAGAGCAGCTGCCCCACCTCCACTGTGCCTGAGCCTACCTCGGCTGTCCCTTGGGTGACTGGAGCCCAGCAGACTGCCTCTTGCTCGCAGGGCCTGAGCTGAAACAAGGAGAGCAGGTTCCGTCTCGAGTTAATCCCAAAGGGCGCAGCGAGAGCAAACAGCTGTGACTCAGCAGATGATCGTGGGCCAGCAACACACTGCTTGGAGTCCCTCTGACTCCTTGCAACCTGCTGGAATTTGACCGGAAGCAAACACAGCCTTTGCAAAGGGCTGCAGGCTCTGAGGGCCTGGCCCCCAGCCAGGCTGCCTAAGCAGCAAAGGCCCTAGGTGGGGAACCCACAGGAATGACCATGTGACAAGGGGAAGGAGGCGGCATCCTCACTCGGGACAGGAGCAGCACAGAGGCCTGAAGGGTGGTGTGTGTATGTGTGAGTGAGGAAGCCCTGCCGGCAGGCAGAGTCCAGCAGGTAGCGTTTTCCTGAACATAATCACCAGACTTGGAGGTGACAGGGAGGCTGATGAGCCCAGACTCACGCCAGAATCTGGGGCAGGAGCTGCGAGCAGCTGGTGGACGTGGGCAGAGGACATGGGTCGGACCCCCAGGCCAGTGGAGGCGAAGGAGTGCACTGGAAATGGCCTGAAGGCTCTGAGTAGCCAGGGCCCTGGGACCCCCAGTGGCCTGCTTAAGGTTTTCTTTTTTTGCACCCAGATTGAACTCGGGACCTTGAGCTTGCCAAGTAAGCACTTAAGCCACAGAGCTATCTCCTGGGCTCCAGTTGCCTGCTGCTGTGGTTCTGATTACAGAGCCTCTGGCTTGACAGTGTACCTGGAAGTGGGTGGATCAGTGCCCACCCGCTTCCAGGTACACTGGCCTTTCTCGTGCTTGTGCAAAGCTGAGCAGCCCCCAAGCCGCTGGCTGAGACAGTGGCTCCACAGTGCTTTTTTGTCAGGGACATCTACAGAGCCGCTTTCTGCAAGGTACCTATGTGCAGGAGCTGCTGTGTTTGGGGGGTTTCTTTTTTTCTTCTTCCTGTGTTGTGAGACGAGATCTCCCTACGTAGATCTGTCTGGCCTTGAATATAACTGACTCAAGCTTAGGCTGCCCTCAGACTTGTCACCCTTCTGCCCCTGCCTCCTGAGCACTAGAATAACAGGCATGCGCCACCTTTCCCAGCCATGGAGCTGGGTTTTCTGGGTGAGGCAACTAGGGATCCCACACCTGTGCCACCCACTTAGTCTCCCCACAGAGACAGCACCCCACGCCTGGCTCAGCCCCCAGTTTCAATTACAGGGTTTGAGATGAAAGGCCAGGGCCTGTGGCCATTCCACTGGGAGGAGGGACGCCGCAGTTCTTGGTGCCTCCACTGCAGGACAGGTGTCTCCATGCGGTCACCTTCAGCACAGTCAGACCTGGCAGCATCTCATGGTGCTCATTGCTTAGGGTACTACTTTGCCCTCTCCTCGTTGCTAGCAAGAATGGGTGATTGGCTTGTGTCCATTCACTCATGGAATGCAATGGAAAAGACCATGGCTGAGGGGACAGATCAGTGACTTCACAAGCTGGGTCTCCCCACAGCAGCTTCCCAGAGATAAGCTCCAACCCACAGGTTGCCCCTTACGCCATCGTCTGCCCAAGGCTTTGGGGCTTGGTTTGGCTTTTATTTTGCCATCCTGGAAATTGAATTACAGGGCCTCCACTCTGAGATCAAACCCTAGTCCGTCCTTGTATTTTGTGGCAGGCAGGGTCTAAGTCCCTAAATTGTGGGCAGTGGGCTATATCTTGGACTCCTCCTGCCTCAGCTTCCCAGAGCGCTGGGATTACAGGCGTGTGCTAGCACACATGGCTCCCAAGGGTAGTTTCTAACTTGCTCCCCTCCCTCTGCTAGACTTTTTCAGCCATATTTTTTACGTATGCCAGCAGCATTGTGCACAAGTAGTAACTTTACAGTTGATAACACAGTTTCCATCTCCCCGGAGAGTTCTTGACTGTCCTTTCCCAGCGAATCCACCCTTGCGCTAGGAATCTAATTTTTATCACAGTGTTGGTATCAGTAGGTTAGTATCAGGAGGCTGAGGCAGGAGGATCACCTCATGTTCAAAGCCAGCCTGGGCTACACAGGGATACCCTGTCTCAAACACAAATAGTAATAATGTGTAGTTTTGCCTGCTCCGCAACTGTAAGTGCACTCCTGAGTGTTTTGCCTCCGTGTTGGGGTCTTTGGTTCGACACGGTGTTCTGAGATTGCCCCTCGATGTGCCAATCTGTTGCCTCACATTAGCATTGGAGTTGTTTACAGTCCAGCGCTGTTTGGAGGGAAGGCTGTTCCAAACACGCATATACATGTCTGGGTGGGTCACAGTCACAGCGTCGCCACACCAGGCCATCCAGGTCTGCTGCACGTGCTGCTGACCACAAGACCCTGTGGCCTTCGCGTGTGTCACAACCTTCGTGTCTCCTCCTGCGCGGTGTTGGCCACAGTTAAGCAGGCCGTTCTCTCCTTGGTTGTAGGAGCTGCGTGTGTATCGTGGACACAGGTGGACCCTCAGGCTGGGCTTCCTGGTTTGTGGTGCCTGCACTCCGCCCCTCTGCTCGCCTAATAGTGCTTGAGGAGCAGCTTCTTTAACTGCCACTTGGTCTTTATCAGCATCTGTGCTTCTTGTTGGGTGTCCAAAAAGTCTTTGCCTACCCTATGCATTTTTTAATCTGACACCCTTATTAAAGTCATTCATTCTGGGCCAGTGAGATAGCTCAGCAGACTAAGCGCCTGCTTAGGCAAGCACAGGGACCAGGGTTCGATCCCTGGCTCCACGTGCCACACCAGCCCTGCCCCTGGGTGCGCTGAGCCAGCCTTGAAGACCAGGTATGGTGGCATACGCCCGTAATCCTGACACTGAGGAGGCTGAAAACGGGAAGATCACTGCAAATCCGAGCTGCATAGTGAGGCCCTGTACCAAATACATAAAAAAAAGTTAAAAGTCATTCATTCTGGCCATTTATTTGTAGACCAACCTGAGGTGTTTTGTCTGGGCAAACTGCTGGTTCCAAACTCTGGCCCCGAGCCAGCGGCAGGTGCTGCTTCACAGCTCCTCTAGGACGTGGGTGCAGCAGCGCAGCTGTGGGGTGTTACGGCATTCCAGAGCTGCTCTTCCAAGTCCAGCAAATTCCTTTTGTTCTTACTTTGAGTTTTTATCATGAAGAGATAATCTTTTAAAATTCTTTATCTACATTTGTTGAATTCAGAAGGTTGTTAGATTTCTTTTTCTTTTCTTTTCTTTTTTTTTTTTTTGAGACAGCATCCAGGCCAGCCTTGTGCTCACTGTGTAGCCCAGAATGGGCCCATACTCCCAGCAGTCCTCCTGCCTCAGCCACCCGAGGGCTGGCATTATGAGCATGCACCACCATGGCAGATCATACTGTTGGATTCTAGGAGCTGGTGAATAGAAGTAGGCAAAGACTTTTCCTTTGATCTGTTTTCCTTTAATCTCTTGACGTGGTGAGTGATGATGCCTGGGACTGACACTGGTTTAACAGCACACCAGCCTTCATTTCCAAGATGAGCCAAACGTGCTTTTGTGACTCGTTGGGCCCTTGAGTTAATCATGGGCCTGCCTCTGCATGTGTGCTTGTGCACAAGGGGGCGAGGGCTGTGCCCATGTGCCTTCTCAGCAGGGACAGAAAGTGGCCCCAGGAGCTCCCCTCTGCATCCCATCTGCAGCAACACTTTGTCCTCACATGCAGCTCCCCCTCTGTCTGGGTTAGAACCCCTGCCAGTGGATGCCCCTTGATCTCTTGGTAGATTGAATTTTCTAGAAATGCCTCTCTCTCATCTAGTTGTCAGCCACAGAATGGAATTGTTCAGAAATCCCTCTTCTGAGCTAGGTGTGGTAGTGCACACCTGTGATCCCAGCATTCTAGGAAGCTCAGGCAGATCTCAAGTTTAAGTCCAGCCTGGACAACTTAGCCCTACCAGAAATACAAAAAAAAAAAAAAAACCTGATTGGAACGGCTGAAGAGATAGCTCAGAGGCATAAGTGCTTGCCTGGCAAGCACAAGGTCCTGAGTTCGATCTCCGGTAACAAAACAAAACAAAAACTACAGCAAAAACAGGTTGGGGTTGGAGCTCAGTGATAGAGCGCCATAGGCTTCAGCTCCAGTGTCAAAAAATAAAGCCACACTTGTCATCCCAGCACTCAGGAGGCTGAGCAGGATTCCCAAGAGCTCAAGACTTGCCTGAACTACATAGTGAGACGGTCTCAAAAAATAATAATTGCCACCCTTTTCCTGACCTCCTGCGCTGCCTGTGCAGCTCGTTGCGGTCAGGCTATTCTTTCTTGCTCACATGACTCACAGCCGCAAGGCACTGGCGTCAACGTGAGCGACCCTCTGATCGCTCCAGTCTTCTGGCTTTTTGAGACAGGGTCTTGCTGTGTGCCACAGGCTGGCCTCAACCCTCAGCCATCCTGCCTCAGCCTCCTGTGTGCTGGATGACAGATGTGCGCCACTGTGCCCAGCTGATGGGTTTCGAAGGATTGAACTTGCAGGGCTTTTCTTGGGCACATGAGACACAGACCAAGTACAGAGCCAGGGCAGGGCTGATCCCAGGGCTCCTCTGGTGATTTGTAGGGTGAGGGTTGAGCCGGGTCACAGCCCTGCCCTCTCCCAACCGTATCTGTCCCTCTGCCCTAGGGTGACCTGGCCAAGAAGAAGATCTACCCCACCATCTGGTAAGTGTGACCCAACCCCCAATGGGGACAGACCTGGCTGTCCCCTCCCTGCCTGACTCCAGCTGTGCCTGCCGCAGGTGGCTCTTCCGGGACGGCCTGCTGCCTGAGAACACCTTTGTGGTGGGCTACGCCCGCTCGCGCCTCTCGGTGGCTGACATCCGCAAGCAGAGTGAGCCTTTTTTCAGAGTGAGTGGCTCCCAGTGTCCCCGCGGGAGGGGTGGGAGGAATGGTCCTGCAGTGTGGCAGGATGGGCAGCAGGGCTTCGGGTGGGGTCTCCTTAGACCACTGGCAACAGCATCTTCCTGGCAAAATGTCACCTGGTGCAGTGACGCCGAGAGGAGTCTCCATCATGTTCCTCCCAGTTGTGTGTCCCTGAGCCCAGGATGACTGTCCTTCCTGTGTGTTGGCACAGTGGTCTGCTGCCTGCTTCTGCCTCCCTCCCATGAGGACCCGGGGACCTGGGACAGCTAACATCAAAAGGAGGCCACTCTGGCCACCAGTGCAGTAGGAGGGAGGACGGGGCTGGCATCACTGTCTGTCTGTCTGTCCCTCTTTCCTAGGCTACTCCTGAGGAGAGGCCCAAGCTGGAAGAGTTCTTTGCTCGCAACTCCTATGTCTCCGGCCAGTATGATGACCTGGCTGCCTACCAGCGCCTCAGCCACCACGTGGACTCGCTGCACCAGGGCCCGCGCACCAACCGCCTCTTCTACCTGGCTTTGCCCCCAACCGTCTACGAGGCTGTCACCAAGCACATCCACGAGGCTTGCCTGAGCCCCACGTAAGGCTGCTCCCCATCCCCCTCACCCCCAAGCACGAGCTAGCCCAAGGGCCGCAGATGTTCCCAGGGAGGAAGAGTGCTCCCTGCTGCCCACAGAGCCTGGAAACATGGATGTCCTCCTCATTCCCTGCGTGAGGTCACTCTCCAAAGAAGAAAGACAGATGGGGAGATAGCTCAGTGGCATAAGTGCCTGCCTAGCAAGCGCAAGTTGCCTGAGTTCAATGCCTGCCTCAAAATTCTGAACAAAGAGAAGAAACTAATATAGTCACTGTCAAACAGCCCTTCCTGAAAGCATTACTACTGTCCACGTATTCAGGGCCCACATGCCTGCGTCCAGCCTTAGTGTACCTGGAGGTGTGAGGCCTGTGAGTTTGGGGCCATCCTGAACTATTACAGGGAGACCCTGTCTCCAGAAAAAAAAATTCAAAATAAAAATGTAAGCAGCAGCTCAGCTCCGCCCCCAAAAGGGCAATTTCCCACAATCACCACAAGATGGCAGTGTTGGTCCATGGAATGCTGCTGGCCTGGAGCTTTTTCTGTGGCGTGTAGAGTGTCCGCAGAGTCCTTGCAGGCCCGCCAGGTGGCAGTGCTGCTGTAGGAAAAACTGCTGCCGCAGCCATCTCTCTGGTTTTGAAAGCAGAGCCACATTGACGCTGTGAGCTGTGAGGGCTGGCAAAACAAAGGGCCTTTTGTCCTTCCAAGACCCATGGAGGTGGGCTCGGTTGACATAATCCTGTGGCCCCACCCTGGCCAACAGAGGAACCCCAGCTGAAGAGAGAAACCTGTGGGGCAGCCGTGTTCTCACCAGCCAGTGGGCCCTCCCCACCCCGGAGAGCCTGCCTGGGGCAGGAGGCCAGGGCTGGTGCGGTGGGCAGGACACTGGCAGTTGGGTGTGTTCCGAGATGCATTGGGAGCCTAGGCACAGAAGTGTCCTCGAGCGGGTGCCACGGTTACAGCTGTGGATCCCGGCAGGGGCTGGAACCGCATCATTGTGGAGAAGCCCTTCGGAAGGGACCTGCAGAGCTCCGACCAGCTGTCCAACCACATCTCCTCTCTGTTCGGCGAGGACCAGATCTACCGCATCGACCACTACCTGGGCAAGGAGATGGTGCAGAACCTCATGGTGCTCCGGTGAGGGCCGGCCAGGCATGCTGGGGACGGGCTGGCAGGGGACTGGGCCCTGGGCAGAGGCCGCACCTGGGGACCTCTCCCGCATCCCTGCAGGTTTGCCAATAGGATCTTTGGCCCCATCTGGAACCGGGACAACATCGCCTGTGTGATCCTGACCTTCAAGGAGCCCTTTGGCACTGAAGGCCGCGGGGGCTACTTTGATGAGTTTGGGATCATCCGGTGAGAACCCACCTTCCCTTCCTCTTTGGGGGCGCCTCCTGGAACCCTGCGGGCCCAGACGTGGTAGCTATATGGAGTGGGTTCCGGGGCTTCTAGTCCTGAGAGACGCTGGGACTCAGCAGGCAGCCCCTCTGGTCTAGAGAGCCTGCACGGCCCCTGGGCCCCTGGTGTCTGAGCAGCACTGGCCCCTCTGTCCCCAGGGACGTCATGCAGAACCACCTGCTGCAGATGCTGTGTCTGGTGGCCATGGAGAAACCCGCGTCCACAGACTCCGATGACGTCCGCGACGAGAAGGTAGGTACAGATGCCGCTCGTGGGAGGGCCCTGGCCAGAGCCAGCCTCATCACCCAGGAGCCTGCTGTCCTCGCCTTCCCCACTGTCTCCAGGTTAAGGTGCTAAAGTGCATCTCTGAGGTGCAGGCCGATAATGTGGTCCTGGGTCAGTATGTGGGCAACCCCAGTGGAGAGGGCGAGGCCACCAGAGGGTACCTGGATGACCCCACAGTGCCACGCGGGTCCACCACCGCCACCTTCGCAGCTGTTGTCCTCTACGTGGAGAATGAGCGTTGGGATGGTAGGTGACCCTGCAGGGGCCTCACGGCACAGGGCTGGGCGGCCCAGTGAAGTGTGACGCACTTGGACTGGCCCTGCCCTGAGGTCACCCTGCCCCCCCAGGGGTGCCCTTCATCCTGCGCTGCGGCAAGGCCCTAAATGAGCGCAAGGCTGAGGTGCGGCTGCAGTTCCGCGATGTGGCCGGCGACATCTTTCACCAGCAGTGCAAGCGCAACGAGCTGGTGATCCGTGTTCAGCCCAATGAGGCTGTGTACACCAAGATGATGACCAAGAAGCCAGGCATGTTCTTCAACCCGGAGGAGTCTGAGCTGGACCTCACCTACGGCAACAGATACAAGGTGTGCGTGTGTGCCTGGGGGCAGGGGGTGGGACAGGAACAGAGCTGTCACTGACCCCTCAGAGGCCCCACAGGACGTAAAGCTCCCCGACGCCTATGAGCGCCTCATCCTGGACGTATTCTGTGGGAGCCAGATGCACTTCGTGCGCAGGTGAGGGGTGTGCCAAGCGTGGGGTGGTGTCCTACCCCATGTGCTCCTGTCCCCAAAGGCCACATACCTTGTCTCCTCAGTGATGAGCTCCGGGAGGCCTGGCGCATTTTCACCCCATTGCTGCACCAAATCGAGCGGGAGAAGCTGCAGCCCATCCCCTATGTCTACGGCAGGTGAGGGCGGGGTAGTGGGGTCCCAAGTGGGGGTCCCCCACATCTACGGCAGGTGAGGGTAGGAGCGTGAGGGGATCTCGGGCCGGCGACCCTCACAGCCCCTTGCCTGTCCTGCTTCTAGCCGAGGCCCTTCTGAGGCAGACGAGATGATGAAGCGAGTGGGTTTCCAGTACGAGGGTACCTACAAGTGGGTAAACCCCCACAAGCTCTGAGGCCGGGCACCCGCTTCCTTCCTCGGCCTCCTCATGCTGGGAGGTCCCTGGGACCACAGGCTCGGCCACCGCCCTCGCCCCTCGCCCAACGCTGTGTCTACGCCAGCCACATTCCTCCAGCACTGTCGCCACACCGGCCCACTGCAGCCCACCCGACTCCATGGGACCCAAGCCACCTCCTCCCCACACTCCCACAGGAGGAAAAAGAGGGGCGTGGCCTAGACGTTAGAAACAGGAGGGGCTGCGGGAAGCTCCTCAAGTGGGGGTGGTAACCAGGCTGACCTCCATCACCCCAACATTCCCAGTCCCCAGCTGCTGAGGACCTTGCCCCCTGCCAAAGCACTCCAAGATGCCCACCTCCCCACCTGCCATTAAACCTTGAAAAGCCCTCATCCCTTGTCATTTCCTCCCTGCCACCTATCGCTTCTCCACTCCATGTCACCTGCCATCCTCCCATAGCACCTCCTAGGGCCACCTCACCTCATGTGACCCAGGGTTGCCACCTCCAGGTCTCCTGTGTCCCTGTCAGGTGTCCATCACCATGCCAACTTCAAGCTGCAACCCCTTCAATTGCCTGTGCTGGCCTTCGCACAGCTACAGCCCTGCCCTGCCCAGCCCCTTCAGGTGACACTGCCAATCCACAGAAGATTCTGAGGAAGGGGAGTCAGAAGTGACATTCTGCTTCCTGCTGGAGTTCTGCGGTGGCCCTGTCTCTGCCTGGCCCTTCCTAGAAAGCCTTGACAACGCCCCAACTTGGTGCTCGAGACAGAGGGCGTACACGAGGGGCCCAGGGTCAAGGCAAACAGGGCCACCTCCCCATGTCCCTCATCAGGAGCCACCCTTGACACCTACACAGGCCACTTCCAGTCACATTCCAACGCTCTAGTGAGCAGGGGCCCTGAGTCACTGCAGCTCCCCCCCCCCCCCCGTCCTCTCTGGAACCAACAACCCCAACATGGTAGTCCCTGAGCTTGTGGCCTCTGCCCAGGGACAAGGCTAACAGGGTGAGGGTCTGAGGGCAGGCCATCTAGGATCATGCAAACCAAATGGCCGTGAGATCAGCCCACACCTAGCAGGGGCCCAGGCGGCCCTCATCTGCAGGGGGCAGTGAGCCAGGGAAGTATCTGTGGTTGAAACGAGGCCTGGCAGGCTCAGTCACTGTGGCCACAGGTGCACGCAACTGTACCCTGCTGTCCAGGCCTTCCTTTTTTTTTTAATTGAGACAGGGTCTTACTAAGTTCCCCAGGCTAGGCTTGAACCTGCCATCCTCCTGCCTCAGGCTTGCGAGCTCTGGAATTACAGGCGTGCGCCACCACGCCCGGCTAGGGCTTTTTGACGCATCCAGGCCTCTCCTTAGTCTGCCACAGAACCCGCTGCCCTCACCCCAGGCTGGAATGGCAACCTGCAGCTTGGAAGGCCAAGGAGTGAAGGTTCGCACCCAGGTTCCTACAAGAGAAAGCCAGAGAATGAATGAGCGCCCCGGAGGCTGAGGCAGGAGGGCAACCTAGCGAGCCCCAAAGTAAAAAGAAAAGATCTTTCCAAAACCAAGAGACCGCACTTCCATGTAGACTCAGTCCTGCCATACAAGCTAGAAAAGTGTCACCACACGTGTGCTTTGCCCGTGGAGGAGCCACTAGGGTGGCTCAAGCTGCACCCCCAGGGAGCCCTGGACCCCAAGGAAAGGGGAAAATGTAAATGCCGAGGAACAGCCCCAGGAGGCACCCCAGCTTGACAGATGGAAGCCCTAGCAGAGTAGTAGCAAGGGGGGAGCAGGGTGTGTTGGCATGGCTGGCACCTTGGCACCTGATGGGCAGAGGGGAGGATCTTGGTGAGTCGGGGCAGCTCTGGTAGCCTAAGACAGGATTGCAAGGCCTGGGTCAGGGCCTTTGTCACCTAAGCACAGGGTACCCCACAGAGCTAGCATAAGCATGACACACCCGAGTGTCCTCCAGGGGAAAGGCTTTGACCTGGGGACGCAGTGCAGAGGGGTACCTGAAAGCACCCAGCGTAGCACCTTCCTGGCGTGGGGTCACAGACTGGCCCACAGGTGAGCACAGAGACCAGTGAGGCGGGGCCTCGCACACGGCTTTGAAGGCTCACCTGTGTCGGGGAGAGCCCAGCCCCTTCCTCCACCTCCTCCCCTTCCTGGCCACCATGAGGTGCTCAGCCCTCCCTGACCGACCCTTCTACCGTGCTCTTCCCACCCTGGAACAAGAGGGACTCAAATGAAACCTGCCCTTGTGCTGTGGTGTTGGGGGTTGGGTTCCCACCACAGGAAGGTGACTGGCACAAGGCACAAGTCGAGGCTTTCAGCTGGCATGTGTGTGACAAGAGGCAAAGAGGTGCAGGTGAGGGCTGTCACCTGTTATCTCTGGTGTGCGGACGCCCACCCAGTGCTCCCAAAGCACCACAAGGGACTGAGACCACATGGGGTCTGAGGCACCAGACCAGGCAGACAGACCCTGAGATGCCACCTCAGCTGTAGTGACACAGGCCGGGGAAAGAGTATGAGGTGAGGTTGGAGAATCACTTGCACTCTGGCTAACTGGACTTGGGTACAGTGTAGCAACTCCCACGCAAGGTCAGCTCACCTAAGGTGCGGTAGGAGCCACATGTCCCAGTGAGGGCACCAAGCGCCACCTCCACTTGCAGGTGGGGCAGGGAGGGAGGCCAGGGGTGTAGCTGCTGTACTCCAGGCGCACACTGCCAGGCGCAGCAGAAACAAGTCTCCACGCGAAACCATGTTCACACATGTTCTTCTTTGAACCAAACTTCCATCAGAAATGGGAGAACGGATATACTAATTAGAAATACTAAACAACAAGCTGGGCGTGGTGGCGCACACCTGTAATCCCAGCACTCTGGGAGGCTAAGGCAAGAGCATTGCAAGTTCAAGCCCTGCCTGGGCAACTTAGCAAATTAGCAAAACCCTGTCTCAAAGTTAAAAAAAAAAAAAAGGATCCAGATGTGATACACACCTGCCCAGTCAGCACTCCGGCAGGCCGAAGCAGGAGGGTCACAAGGTTGAGGCCACATTGGTCATAATGCATTGGCTCCAGAGTGTCCCCCGAAAACCTTGGGTGCAGAGGGGACTTCTGGAAGGTGATTGGGTTATGGCGTGCTGCAGTCTTCATGGCTGAGTGTGCTGTTGATAGTGGTGGGTAAGAGCAGGTCACTGGGCTGTGACCCAGAAGGAAGGGTGTGTCCCTGGCCCCAGCCCCTTCCCGCGCTCTGCTTCCTGACTGCTGTGGGCGAGCAGCTCTCCTCCCCTGCCTGGCCCCTACGACGTCCCTGCCTTGGAGCCAGACAGCCATGGATCGAATCCTCTGAAACTGTGAGCCAAATAAACCTCCTTTACTTTGTGCTGTCTGGTGTTGCAATGGGAAAGCTAATTCACTTAGTGAGACTGCGCTCCAAAAGAAACATTTTCAAAAGGCTGAGAATGTAGATCAGTGGAAGCTGTTCACCTGGTGTACACAAGACCCTGGGTTTGATCAATCCTTGGTACCAGAAAGAAGGGAAAAAATGACCAGGCCTGGTGGCACCACCTGTAATCTCAGCACTGGGGAAGCCCAGGCAGGAGGATTTCTGCAAGTTCAAGGCCAGCCTGAACTGCTGTGAAACCCTGTCTCAAAAAGAAATTGAAGGGCTGGAGAGATGGCTCAGTGGTCTAAAGCACCTACTTAAAAAACAAGCTCAGCAAAGCATCAGGGACCGCGGTTCAATCCCCAGCACCACATGCCAGTCAGCCCCGCCCCCTGGTGGGCTGAGCTGGCCACACACACACACACACCTCTCTCTCTCTCTCTCTCTCTCTCTCTCTCTCTCTCTCAAATAAATTAAAAAAATAAAAAAAAAATTGAAAAGGGCTAGAGAGGTGGCTCAGGCCTACTATGCATAAGGCCCTGAGGTTTACCCCAGAACCACAAAAAAGTAAAAGGGAAAAGAAAAAGCTAGACTCCTCACCCAGAGAGGAGAATGTCCTCAGGCCTTCAGGATCCCTCCCCTGCGTTGCAGGGGGAGTATGCTATTACAGGCCAGTCTGCTGAATCTCTGTGGCCCTGTCACCATGGGTGTGGATGGAGACCCTGAAATGTTGCCACCACTTCGTCCTCTTGCCCTTGGAGCCGAAGCCAGAAGAGATCATCCTTCCTGTGCCGCCAGAAAGCCTCAGACCAGCCCCAGGGTGACGCCCAAGACACCAACAGGGGCCAGCCAGCTCAGGCTAGGACATCCCCAGGAAGCAATAGGAGGCCAAGTGTTCAGCGAGAAACTCCCTCTTTTGCGGTCGCTCCCTCCTGCAGGCCTAGCCTCGACAGCCACCCTCGAGGGAAAGGGAGCAGAAAGCACGTGGCAGGCCCTAGGCAGGCAGGGGTGCAGGCCTGTCCCACACGACACTGGATCTCACTGGCTTGCCGAGACTGGCTTTGAACTCGCAGACTCAAGCCACCCTCACCTGAGTGTCCTGCGAGAACCTTCTCTGCCTCTTACCAAGAACCAGGGGCACGGGCACAGGTAAGGGCAGGATCCAGAGGACAGGGCCCTGGGAAGACAGCCATCTGAGACTGGGATTAACAGGGCATGGTGGTGCTCACCTGTAATCCCAAACTAGTCAGGAGGTTGAGGCAGGGGCATCACAAGTTGGAGGCCAGCCTGGGCAATTTAGCCAGTATCTATCTCCAATTAATTAATTTAAACCCCAAAGCTGGGCATGGTGGTGCACGCCTATAATCCCAGCACTGGGGAGGCTGAAACAGGAAGATTGCTGCAAGTTTGAGGTCAGCCTGGGCTACAAAGTGAGCTCAAGGCCAGCCTGAACTGCACAGTGAGTTCATCTCAAAAAAATACAAAAAAACAAACAGGTGCAAAAAAAAAAGAAGAAGAAAGAAAGAAAGAAAGAAAGACAAAGAAAAAAGGGGCCGGGGAGATGGTTTAGTAGAATAAGCACTTGCCTGGCAAGTGCAAGGCCTAAGTTCAATCCCCGGTTCGGAAAAAAAAAAAGAGAAAGAAAGATATACATCAATGGCCAATTAGTCCTCGAAGATCTCATGGCACCACTCTGCTCCTTACAGTGACCTGATCCTACAGTAAGAGTCAAGGGTTACAGACATACACATTCCATCTATTGCTGGGGGACAAGGTCAAGGGAGTAGCCCCACCTTCCTTGGGTCAGAGACTATGGGTTCAGAGCCAAGAATTTTATTCATCTCTTCTCTTCATGAAGGTTTCTGTTCTACCTCAAACTAGGAAATAGTTCAGAAGAAAGTGTTAAATAAAAATAACAGGAAGCCAGGCACAGCGGTGCACACCTGTCATCCCAGTACTCCAGGAGCTGTGGTACAAGGATCACGATGAGTTAGAGACCAGCCTGGGCTAAATAGTGAATTCAAGCCCAGCCTGAGCTACATAGTGAGATCTTGGTTTTTTTTTTTGTTTTTTTTTTTTTTTTTTCCGGAACCGGGGATTGAACTCAGGCCCTTGTGCTTGCCAGGGAAGCACTTATTCCATTGAGCCATATCCCCGGCCCCTGAGATCTTGTTTTAAACAAACAAACAAACAAACAAACAAACAGACCCTGTCTCAAAACACCAGGACAAACCAACAAATAAGAGGCTGCTGAGCTGAGTAGTGCACACCTATAATCTGAGCACTCTGAAAGGCTGAAGCAGGAGGGCCCAAATTTGAGGCCAGCCTGAGTAACTTAGTGATTTAGTGGGACCCCATCTCAAACTTTAAAGAGAAAAAAAAAAAAACTGGGGATGTAGGTCAATGTGAAGCCCTATATTCAATCTACAACACCAAAAAGGAAAAGGGAAAATATTCTAGAATTTCTTTTCCTCTACATGGATGACAGAAACTCTACTGCAAAGCTAGCTATGACCTCTGAAGAGACTAAGCTTCACCTACCTCTTTTGGAGGAGGCTGTAAAGAAATTCTGTTAACTGCTGCTCATTCATGACTGCATCCAGCAGCCCGCCACTGCCCGGTGTAGTTGGCCCGCCCCTCAAGTGGAGACTAAGCTACATCCCCAGCTCTTTTCATCTTGGATTCTGAGACATCTTATCTTGCTAAATTACCCAGGCTGAGAATGAAGTTGCAGTCCTCCTGCCTCAGCCTCCGAGAGCGCTGGGATTAGAGGTGTGCATTACAGTATCCTGCACAAATGCTCAGTTCTGATAAAGCTGATCCAGCAAGCTTTTATTTGTTCTAAGTAACCTTTGCTGTTGATGCAAAACCAAATATCTACCTCAAATTCCTTTCAAGACCAGCGTTACCAAAGTTGATTTTCCATCGAAGGCTGCTGTTTTTCCAGGTCTCCGACCTATGGCTTGCCCGGGCAGGGGCGCCCCAGCATGGCGCTCTCCGGGCCTCGCTGGGGCAAGCTTTTGCAACTTGCTCAGAGCAAAGCATTAGCAGCACCCACTCGAATGGCCTGCGTGACACATGGCAGGCCCAGCCAGGTAGGAGCACCAGGATCCAGGGGCTTCTTGTACTGGGCCCTGCGGAGGTCACAGTGCCCACTGCTTGGCACCACAGATACCTAAGAGGCCCCCAAGTTCGGTGACCAAACTCAAGCCTGACTGCGCCAGAAAGGGACCGCGTGTGAGCGCTGTGTGCACCTGCCCAAGGTGCTGCACTGTATTCCCATTGTTCTGGATTGCTTTGGGGACAGAGGTGGCCGGACTGCGATCAGGGTGCACCAGGAGGTCAGAACGCAGGTCGGAGGGCTTTCACTTGTTCGGCTTCTAGACAGAACACACGGGGGAAGGAAGGCGGTCCAGGCGCTCCGTGCTTGGCCCTGGCCCCTCGGATTCTGCAGCCTTCCCCACCTGCACCTCCCGCGTTCCTCCGTGGCGCCCACAGCGCCTCACGATTCCTCGCTTCTGCCCAGACGATCGCCCCCCCCGCGCCCCCCCGGACCCGACCTCAAGGTACAAAAGCTGGAAAGAAGGCTCTCCCACCCAAAATGAGGCAGAGGGCTACTTCCGGGGAGGGACAAGCGTGGGGCGGGAGGCGGCCTGCCGAGGGCCCCGCCCGATCCCGGCACCGACTGACGTGAGGCGGAGGCGGGGCCGGCTCGGCTCCTCCGCCTGCGGCCCGTGCTGGGGCGGGGCCGGGAAGCCGCGGACCCTCCCTGGTCCGCCATTGCCGGGCCTCACTGGCCCTTCTGCGCTTCGCCCTCGCCTGCTGTCTTCCGGCTGAGGGCAGCCGGCCCGCAGAGCATCTCCCCGCCGAGCCCTCGTCTACCCGCGGCCAGGCAAGTGCACGGGAGAACCACGCCATAGCCCGGTCCGGAGGCTTCCTTGGCCCGACCGTGAGCCGCCGGCTTCCCGAGGGCTTGCAGAAACAAATAGCACTGATCGTGCCGCCCCGCGCAGGGGCCCGGCGCAAGCTGTCCCTAACGCCAGCCAAACCTGTTCTGCTTCGTCCCCCTCAGAGCGCACAGTCCCAAAACTGTGCACCCGCCGGTGGTCCCAGCCCAGCGGGAGACGTGGACATGAGGTTGGCAGGTGGGTGGCTTCCACAGTGCGCCGGAAAGAGGCCCAGGTGCCCCAACTTTGTGTCAAGACGGGCCCGGGCAAGCCGCTGGCTTCGCACATTCACCCTGACCTTGAGCCAATCCTTTCACCCCTGAGCATTTCAGTTCCCAGGTCGTGAGATGAGGACGAGGGTGGCCAGGCCCATCCGCTCAGAGCCAAGGGGCTGCTCCTTGGCGAATGAGGTGTGCCAGAATCCCCCAGAGGCCTGGCAGCTGGGGAGAGGAGAGAGAGTTGGAGAGGCAGGGCTGGGTGCTAGCCAGGGCAGCTCAGGTGTCGCCACCACCTTCTCCAGGGCAAGGCTAGGGGGAGGAGGAGGAAAGCAGGACCCAGGCTGGGAGGGCAGCTGGGCCTGCTGGGGAGCAGCTTGCCCTTGTCCTCTGAGCGCGCTGTGAAGTGGCAAGCACTGGGGTGTGGGTGCCAGGGCGGGAGTCAGCAGTGACTCACTGCCCCATGGCAACGTGGGCCAACCTCTGTGAATGAGATCACCGGCAAAGGGCACAGGTGGGGACGGGCAGCAACGCCGTGATCAGCCAGCCTTTGGGAGGCCTGCAGTGTCGAGAATTTGGGTGGGGACGGCGTGCTGTCCTGGAAGCCAGGAGCGAAAGACTTGTGTTAGCAGAAGGGCATGGGCAGTCCACTGAAAGGTCAAGGAGGCCGAGAGTCCACAGGTGACAAAGAGTGTGACACCATGAAGTGGCACCATGAAGATCAGAACTGGCCTTGGCCCCAAGCTGTGTCTTTGGGGTGATGGGGGCCAAATCAAATTGGAGCAGGTTGGGGCAACAGTGCGGGGGGTGGCAGGGGCAAGCGTAGAAGAGTCTAGAAGAGCCGGAGTGGAAAGAAATTGAGGAGGGAGCAAGGGCGCGGTGTGGCCTGGGAGGAGAGCTTCCCAGCTCCGCTTGCTTAAGACAGTGATGTCCACAACCCAGGATACAGAGCAAGATGGAGAGCAGGGTCTCCACTGCCTGAACTCAGGGTGGGCAGGGAGCACAGGCACCAGCTGGCAGCAGTGGCAGGGATGCAGACAGCTGCCAAGCCCAGAGGCAGGAGCTGACAGGTCCTGGAGGAAGATGCGGGACCTTCAGGGCCATGAGTCCCAAAAGGCCCTCACAGCTGCCAATGAGAAGAGAGTCCACAGGCAGCCCTAAGGCTTGAGCTCCACCTCTTCCTCCTGCCTGCCCAGCAGATGGAGTCTCACTGCTGGAGCTCGATGGATGGCCGGAGGAGCCCACATGCCTGTCGCCTGGCTCCTATTTCCCAAGAGGAAGGGCAGAGACGGCCCAAGAGGCAGGGGTCACCCCAGGGTTCCCTGGTTCCTGAGGCGGGCCTGCCTGTGTCTGTCCAGGCCCCCTTCGCATCGTGGTCCTAGTCGTTGCCATGGGTCTCACCTGGATCGTCGGCAGCACCCTCCTGGGTGGGCCTGGTGGTGGCTTTCCTCGCATCCAGCACCTCTTCACCAGTGAGTGTGAGCCCATGAGGGTCCCTGGGTGGGGATCACTTCCCTGGCAGGGTGCACTCTGCCCATCTCCTGGCACCAAGTGCCACCTTTCCCTTTCCAAGCAAGCATGACAGCTCAATGAGCAACACCTAAGGCTTGGAAGGCACCCAGCAGGCTCTCCAATGGGATCCTCACATGAGGAGTGTCTCTTCACTCTATGACTGGGGCAGGATGCCCAAAGTACTCTGTGGCTCCAATCTCCCCCTTTGCAGGAGCAAAAGAGTGGTATTCAGTTTTGCTTCTGAGTCACTTAGACTTACAATGAGGCCTGGCCTCAAGGCTACCATGTTAACAAAAACTACTCTCATCCCACAGGCCCAGAGAGCTCTGTGACTGCAGGTGAGGCTGTGTCCCCACCCTCTTCTCCCTTGTGCGGTCCTCAGGGTGGCAGTTCTCTCCCCATCTCCCTCAGCACAGGGGCCTCTCCCAGCAGCCAGCTCCCTGCCGTGGCGGCCACTATAATACACGATGCAGGGGGAGGTAGCATGCAGCCAAAGATTGCTAGTGCAGAGGGGAGGCTTGGGGACTGGGGAGCTAGTTCAGCAGCATGAGCACCTGCCTGGTAAGTGCATGGGCCAGAGTTTGATCTCCAGTCCCCCCAAAAAAATAAGGGGAAGGAGAAATGGATTAGGAGAGGAGGGAACCGGCCCCTTCCTGGGCCAGTCAGCTCTCCTGCCAAGGGACATCGGGACCCACCTCTTTAGCAAATCCTTGCCTGGCCACACCTTTGCTTGCCTTCTTCCTAGAGGATTCTGTCTGTCTGTCTCTGTCTCTGTCTCTGGTCTCTCCTCTTCTCTTCTGTCTCCCTCTCCCTCTCCCTCTCCCTCTCCCTCACTGGTACTGGAGGTCTCGGAATGAAATCCAGGGCCTTGGCACTAAGCAGCACACACAGCCTTGTTTGTTTGTTTCTGTGTAGTCTATGCTGGCTCAAAGTCACAGCAATCCTCCCACCTCAGCCTCCTGGGTGCTGGGATTATAGGTGTGCACCACCATGCCCAGCTTTTTCTTTCTTCTTTTTTTTTTTTTTTTTTGCAGAACCAGCGATTGAACTCAGGCCCTTCCACTTGCCAGGCAAATGTTTATTCCATTGAGCCATCTCCCTGGCCCCCTCTCTTTCTTATTTATTTATTTATTTATTTTTTTGGTGGAACCGGGGATTGAACTCAGGCCTTGTGCTTGTCAGGCAAGCACTTATTCTACTGAGCCATCTCCCCGGCCCCTTTATTATTTATTTTGACACAGTGTCTTTTTATTTTTTTATTTTTTTTTTAAATTTTTTTAATTTTTATTTATTTGAGAGAGAGAGAGTGTGTGTGTGGTGTGTGTGTGTGTGGCCAGCTCAGCCCACCAGGGGGCGGGCTGGCTGGCATGTGGTGCTGGGGGATTGAACCGCGGTCCCTGATGCTTTGCTAAGCTTGTTCTAAGTAGGTGCTTTAGACCACTGAGCCATCTCTCCAGCCCCCACAGTGTCTTTTTAAAGTGCCTGAGCTAAACTCAAAGTTTTGAACACCCAGCCTCAGCTTGCCAAACCCCTCCACCTGGTTGTTTTGTTTTCTTTTTTCAGACTGGGTCTTGGTCTGCAATCCACGCTGGCTTGCAATTGGCTGTTGTAGTCCAGGCTGCCCTTGACCTCAGGCTCTTTTTGCCTCAGCCTCCTGAATGTTGGGAATACGGGGGTATACCACCATACCCACCTACTGTACATATTTCTACCAACTTTCTCTTTTTTAATGTATTTAGTACAGGGTATACAGGGTCTCACTACACAGATTGGACTTGTAGTGATCCTCCTGCCTCAGACTCCCCAGTGCTGGGACTACAGGCATACGCCACCACACCCAGTTTTGGTGGCCAGCAAAGCATGCCCGGGGTTCCAGGGCCAGCAAATTATGTGGTACTGGGGATCGAAAGCACCTCAGTGCTTAGGCAGCTGAGCTATCTCCCCAGCCCCCAACCCTCTCTTAAAGGCAAACTAGGCCCTTCCATGTATCTGAGGACACTACAGCTTCTGCCTGTGGCCCAACCCAAAGCTGTAGCCATGCAGAAGCGCCCTCCTTCCTGGCACCAAGATGAACATCAGTGTCCCAGGGCTGCGTAACGAAGAGCCAGCACACGTGTGAGGGAAAGCATGTTCCCTTTTGCACAGCTCCGGAGGCAGAAGTAGGAGGCAGAGGGGCCACGGGGTGCTCTGTCCATCTAAAGCTCCAGAGGAAGGGGCTTCAGCCTGGTGCAGATCCTCAGAGCCTTCCTCGGTGCACTGAGGCTTGTGGCTGCGTTCTGCTCATTTCTACTGCCCTGTCACAGGGCCACCTCTTTCTTTGTCACTTCTGCCTTTATAAGGCCTCAGCCTGCTGCAGCATGACCTCATTTTTACTGATCTATGTGCAGAGACCCTGTTTCCAAACAAGGCCACATTCTGAGGTGCTGGCAGTTAGGGTTCCAGGGTATGTTTGTGTTCTTGGTTTTGTTGAGGCAGGGTTTTGCTGTGTAGCCCCACTTCTATTGTATTGTGTCTTTTGTAGAGATGCAGTTCTGAGCACAGCAGAGGCCATCCCCCTCCTACCCCTCACTTTGGGGTCTCGGACCTGGAAGCCTCTGCACCTTTGGGCTCCGAGCCTGGTTTACTCTGCCCATTTTGTTTGTGGCTGTGCATGGGCTGTGGCCACGCCTTGAGCCCCTGAATTACTGTCACCTGGCCAGAGCAGAGTGGCTGTTGAAGTGTTCCTTACCTTGCCTAGAGCCACACCCTCCCGCACTGGCTCCCTACCCCTCCTGTGGATCTCAAGTGACTCTGGGGCCAGGTCACTGGGTCACAACTCTGTCCTTATTCAGAACCACGGGCCAAAAAGTACAAGTGCGGCCTGCCCCAGCCATGTCCTGCGGAGCACCTCGCCTTCCGCATGGTCAGCGGTGCTGCCAACGTAATTGGGCCCAAGATCTGCCTGGAGGACAAGATGTGAGCTCGGGGCCCACAGGGCAGGAGGTGGGGGCTCCTAAGGAGGAGAGAACCCGTGTGACAGTGGTGGCCTCTGTCCCCTGTCAGGCTCATGAGCAGTGTGAAGGACAATGTGGGCCGTGGACTGAACATTGCCCTGGTAAATGGTGAGTCCCCATGCCATGCTGTCCCTCCTTCCCCATCTCCGTACAGCTGCTGTGTTTGCCAGGTGCCCCTCCAGGAGCCCCCAGAGCTATCAGAAGGGTCCCAGCAGAGGCCACCCAAGAACAAAGCAGGCAGCCACATGCAGGCCTCAAGTGAACACTGGCTCTGTGGCTTTGGGCCCAACAGGATGGGGAGTAGAGTGTTTGCAAAGCTCTGAAATCCGGCTGTAGTGGTGTACCCCTGGAATCCTAGCACTTGGGAGGCTGAGGCAGGAGGATCAGGGTCACCACGACTCGGAGGCCAGCCTGGGCTACATAGTCCAAGGCCATCCTAGACTGTACAGTGAGACCCTGTCTCAAAAAGCCAAAAATAAAACAGTAAACGGAGCTTTTGGAAGAGTCGCAGCCAGTTGCTACCTGGGCCCTTGAGCGGGTGGCACGAATGGCACCTTGGTCACTCAGGAGGTCTCCTTTCTCTTAATGCAGGAGTGAGTGGCGAGCTCATCGAGGCCCGGGCCTTCGACATGTGGGCCGGAGGTAAGTAAGGCCAGCCCCTTCCGCCCTCTGTGGCCTGGACTTGAGGGGTGGGAGGGGTCACCAGTCAGGATACAGGTTATGCTTCTTGCTACTTTGTCCCTTGATGGGGCTTTTTCTCCACTGGGGCGAGGGTGTGTAGGGAAGGGCCACACCTGTGGGCCTAAAGCCCTGTGTTCTGTGAGCCACCCACATCCCCAGATGTCAACGACCTGCTAAAGTTCATTCGGCCACTGCACGAAGGCACCCTGGTGTTCGTGGCATCCTATGACGACCCAGCCACCAAGTAAGTGACCACCCAGGGGAGCCTGAGCCAGGCCCAGAGGCAGCCTGGGCTCACCTGTCTTCCGGCTTGTGGCAGGATGAATGAGGAGACCAGGAAGCTGTTCAGCGAGCTGGGCAGCAGGAACGCCAAGGAGCTGGCCTTCCGCGACAGCTGGGTGTTCGTGGGCGCCAAGGGTGTGCAGAACAAGAGTCCCTTCGAGCAGGTACAGCAGCAGTGCCCTTCTGTCCACAGTGGGGTTCAGCTTTTCGGATGTGTTTGACCTTGGGGAGGAGGGGTCTTTGGTTTTCTTTGTTTGGTTTTGGGCGGGGTTGTTTTGTTTTGTTTTGACTCAGGGTCTCATTGCGTAGTATAGGCTGGCCTCAAGCTCACAGTGACCCTCCTGCCTCAGCCTTCCGAAGGCTGAGGTGACAGGCCTGTGCCATCAGACTGAGCTTCTAAAGGGTCTTGGAGTGGCCAAGTTTGCACTCTGGCAAGGTCACAACCAAGAAGCCGTCCTCCCCAACATCTCCGTGATGCGCAAGCCTGCCTGCGTCCTCTGAAGCCCAGGGGTCCTCTGTCTTGCAGCGCTGTGCACTCTGCCTTTCAGGGTCGCACATGTCAGTGCCTGTGTTTGCAGTAGGGAGCAGGAGAGCCCCCAGTTGCCAGCCTCACACTGGAAAGGTTCCTGGCCCCGACCAAGCCAGTGTCACCAAATCCTGCTCCCCACGATACACAAACACATTTCTAGAAAACTCTGATGATGAAAAAATAGCTTGACGTGTTGGGCAAGGTAGTGCATGCCCGGCATCGCAGCACCTGGAAGGCTAAGTAGGAGGATTGCCGTGAGTTAGAGGCCAGCCTGGACCATAAGACCTTGTGTCAGAAAGCCAAAACAAAACAAAAAAAGAAAAGGCAGGCAGGCTCGAGCTGCCCACCGCAGGCCTGGCTCTGGCTGCAGGTCGCAGGCTCCTGACAGCAGGAACCATCATCCTCCCTCCCCCTGTAATGTTCCCTCCCTGCTGGCCCGGAGCCCACATAGGCTGTCCCTCCCCTTGTCCCATCCCTGCAGCACGTGAAGAACAGCAAACACACCAACAAGTACGAGGGCTGGCCCGAGGCACTGGAGATGGAAGGCTGCATCCCTCGGCGCAGTGTGGCCAGCTAGCGCACGGGCCCGGCCCGGCCGGGGCTCTGGCACAACCACAGCCTTGCAGGTGCCCTTGGCATGGGAGGCCGGGTACCTCTGTCCTCCTACAGCTGCCTTGAGGCCCGCCCCTCCCAGCCTTTCCCCTCCACCCGAGGGCCCAACTGCAAGGGCCCTGGGTGCCTGCTCCTGTCACCAAACAGTGCCATCCAGAGCAGTGTCCCTGCCACATCCTGCAGCAGAAGGGGTCCTGGAACAGCAGATGGCAACAGCATGCAGTCCCGGGAGCTGCCCAGCAGGTGGCCTCTTAACCCATGGTCCACAGCAGTCAGGAAGCTGAGCAGACAGCCTGTGTCCCCAAGCCTTGTACCCACGCCCCACACCGATGGAGACCCATGCTGAACAAAGCTGGCCCCAGCTGGTGCCACTCAAAGCTGGGCCTGGGACATGTGGCCTGCAAGGACTGGGACAGGAAATAAAACAGGCACAGCCAGGTGGGGTGGCCACGCCTGTGATCCCAGCCTGCACTGGGGAGGCTGAGGCAGGAGGATTCCTTTGAGTTTGAGGCCAGCCTGGACTACATAGTGAGACACTGTCTCAAAAGACAAAATAAATAAATAAAAGCAAGGGCGCAGAAGTATGTGGGTGTATGAAGAGACAAGGTGGTTTGGACTTCCCAGACATGAGCAAACAGGGCACTTCAGCCATCCCACACGTGGCAGTGGCAGCTGCAGAAGTGCTCCCAACACTGGGAAACGCGACCCTCAAGAAACAAAAGTAAAGCCAGGCGTTGTGACACACTTCTGTCATCCCAGCTGGGGCAGAAGGATCCCCAAGTGTTCCAAGGGCAGCCTGGATTACCTAGGAAGACTCAAAAAACAAAGATGAATGTATTCTAGGGACAAGCACATGTCGAGTTAGAAGCCCACCAGGGAAGAAGTGGCTCATGCCAGGACTGCCAAGGTGGGGCCGGAGGGGCTGCGGGGCAGCGCAGTGGGACACGCGTGCCTGGCCTGCGTGAGGCTCTAGCCTTCCCAGTATCCCCCCGCCTCCAAAAAGGAAAAGAAAGTAAAGCGCAAGGAGGGAGGAGGACTCAGCCCTGAGCTGGTGCCTTGCAGAGCGTGCTCTTTCGCAGGCGGTTTGTGGCCACAGCCGCAGTGAGCAAGGACAGAGCTCCTAGTTTCAGGCTGTGGGTTTGGAGTTCTGACAAAATTGCGCAGTGACGTCCTTCCACCACTGAAGCATCTACCGTGTCCATATTCGTAAATCTTCCTACGGAGGATGCCTCGTGGCCAGACTGGAGGGAACAGCATAGTCCGCTCCCTCACCCTCTACCTGGCTTGCAGGCAGGCGCGCCGCCAGCATCCTCAGCCGCACACACTCCTCTCACCTGCGTCAGGTGAATCGACTTTGTTCTCTGTCAGCACCACAGTTCATGCAACCCCTGCTGTCAGGCCATTGTCCCTGTTGCAGAGAAAGAAGTTGAGGAGCCTGGGGAACGTCAGAGCTGCAGTGGAGCCAAGGTGTGAAAAGCTGGGTGGGGAGGATTCTGCATTCTGTGCAGGACTGCCCTGAAGCAGAGCAAGAAGGGAAAGCTGACAGCGAGGCCCATGCAGGCCACGCCCAGCCTAGTCCCACCCCAACAGGGAGAAGGGAGGAGCCTGGGGAAAACACCCTGCAGGTAGGCCACGCCCCTTCCGAGCAGGCCACACCTCCTAGCAAGGGAGGAGCCAGGAGGCAGATACACCCTGTAGGCCACGCCTCTTCCAAGGCCCGCCCTTCCTAACATCCTGTGAGCCCGGCCTTTACCAGTCTTTACCTTTGGAAGACCCCCTGTGAGCGCACAGGCTTGGGACACATAGGTAGAAATCAGACCACACAGGTTGGCAACTTGGTGTCAGGTAACCCTCACCTCACCGGCAGCCGAGACAATTGTGGTGAGTGTCCAGCCCTCCTCCGCTGACCCGTGGGGCCAAGGAACGTCCCCAGGTGCCTGCCCGGGGCCAGCCTCTCTGCTACACACTAGGGAGGTATGCGAGAGGGATGGTGCTGGCCCTGCCCCAGTGGCAGGCACCAGTGTCACACAGGACAGGCAGCTTCATCACACACTTGGCCCAGCCCGGCTTAGGTCACGCCAGTCTACCCTGATCGTTTACCACACCTTGAGGTACCACAACCCAAAGCGAAAGGGGCACAAGAAAAGCAGGCTGCGGCTGAGTGTTGTGATGCACACCTGTCATCCTAGCACCCCGGAGGCTTAGGCAGGAGGATCACTGCCTGTTTGAGGCCAGTTTGGACCACATGGGCCATGAGGCGTTCAAGACCAGCCTGGACTATACAGCAACACCCTCTCTCAAAAAACCATCAACAACAAAAAAGAGAATGGGATTTACTGTCGCTATAACAGACCCCAAGGCCTCATTGTGGCTCTGCTGTCCTGGTCTTGCTGTGGTTTCTCAGTATGCTGTCTGCCCCTGGAAGTTGGGGGCCATGATGGAGGTCCCAGTTTAGCAACCCCATCAGAAACATGCTCCTGCCTTCCCAGAGTTCAGTACAGTCCCTGGGGACCAACTTGCCTGCGGGCCACGTGGTCCTGTCCACGCCATTCTCAATGCATGAGGTCACCCAGCTCAGCCACCCTTCACTCAGCCTGGTTTTTTTCTTTTCTTTCTTTCTTTCTTTCTTTCTTTCTTTCTTTCTTT